TCCGCTTGAGAACCACTGCAAACTTCTCTACCACACACTCATCAAACTTACTCCATCGACCATCATTGGACGCCGGCCACTTCACCTTGTCTCTTTTGCTAGCAGGTGGTTCGACTGAAATTCTCTTGTCAAGGAGAGCCCGGATATCTCTAGCACTGTGGTTGTTTTCCTGGCTAGATACCTCCGTCGAAGTTACAGGCATACTGCCAGCCGACGACTCCCCTTCCCAAATGCACTTCATTCGACCCCGATGGATATTCCTGCCTTTGACTGTGTCAAACCGACGTCCACATACACAGATACAACTCTGTCCCTCTCCTGCTTCAACCGTCGAGGACTCTCGACTACCTAAGTTTGTCCTTTTCCGGAGTACAGGTAAGTGGAGGGATGCCTACAAAGCCTTTATTGTTAACCCGGGCAACTCGTCTCTAAATAAAGACTCCCGGGGCCTTAGAGAAGCAGGAGGCGTGGTACCGATGTAGGCTGAGGTAGCCACTTTTATGACCCCGTCTGACTTCTCTATTGCAGATCCGCTGCAGGCTCCGACCACTACCCAACCTAAAGACCAAAACCAGGCATACTATCTGTCTTATCATATGGGTCTTACCCCATGGTAGCTGGCCTATCCCAGCAGTATTCAACAAAGCAGAGTTGAGACACAGTTAATAAACTGCGGAGTGACTAAAATGCTATACAGCAAAAACAGAAAGCTCCAACCAAACACTCCACCTACTGATCCTAACCACCCTAACAACTCTCAAGCTCTCTCTCTTCAACCCTCATTCCCTCACTCCTCTTGGTGCACAAAACCATTCTAACCTATGTATGTCCCCCTTACGGGTTCCACAAGCCCAACGGTACATAGTTAGACGAAAAACAGAGAAGCCTTGATTGCCAGATCAAGGACTGCATCAGTAGCAGCGAAATACGGATATACCTTCTCCCTTACAGTCAGCGAGCTGACAACTATCTGACTGTGTCTTTTAGGCCTTGCCACACCACCTTCGCTATTGCATCCGCTCGCCCGTATTCACTGACACATGCCACACCTGGGTTTAGTATGAAGATGTACACATATTCACCCAAGATGCGGAGATGCCTCAGTTTAGCAAGTTGAGATACAACAGCAAACTCACAGGAGCATGGATCAGAATCATCAGTTACCAACCTGACACCGTTTCGGGGCTTTAATCGCAATACGGTTTCCTGTCAGGCGCCCCAGCAGTCCACCCTTGAACCACCATCTGATCCGAGAGTCACTTGAGGAGACCCGTTAGAGCTCGCAATTGGCGACGAGATAACGTTTATGGTTCCTCTAGATGTTATAGTGAACTCTCAAGCTCCAACCTTCCTGAACTCCCACTCCCTCTTTCTCGATAACAAGTAAATCCATCTGGAACAGTGGGCTGCCTCTTTCCCACTGTCCCGTACCAGCTTCTTCAGCTCTCTTCCTCTAAAACCAATCCTCCTCGCAGCTCTCTCCAAACTCTGCGCAACCACTCCCCTAGCTCCAACTTCGACTGCGGCATTATAACAGCACCAACCTTTCGCCTGAATCTCAGCCTGCAGACCACTGTATCGGTCGAGTTTGTACTCGTGCGATTCAGCGATCCGCTCTTCAGATGGTACTGTTAGCTCCCACCAAATAACTGTCTTTGCCGACCTTGAGAATATCACAAGGTCCGGCCTCAGCCGTGTTTCCACAATCTCACTGGGAAACTTAAGCTGCCCCTCAAGGTCTGACAGCACTATCCAATCCCGATACCCACTCAGGATCCCAAAACCACGACTCTCCTTCCGGTCGTCTGTACCTGCTTTTCTCCTCCCAGCAGGAATAAAATCAATGAACTGTCTTCCATTGCCGGCCTTGTTCTTATAAGTGTTCACTCGGCGATCACAATGGAAGACAACCTGTTCAGAGATCTGCTTCAGAACCTTGTCGTGCCGCCATCTATACCTTCCTTGACTAAGGGCCACCTTACACCCAGCCAAAATGTGCTGAATGGTGCCCATCCTCTCCTCACATAACTTGCACTTCCCATCCTCATCTTCACTCCACTTGGAAACCATAGAGGGGGTTAAGAGGGTGCCGTACACAGCACTTAGCATGAACCCAATAAGTGAGTCACCATACTTAAAAAGTGTATGCCAGCTCAAATCCGTCTTCATTACGAGCTCTCTCCACTCACCCCACCTGCTCTGCATCTCCAGAGAACCTACTTGCACCTCCCTCTCTCTTTCAATGTTCTCCTTCACTCTCAGCATAACCTCCCTCTCTCTTTCCCGCTCATCCATCCTCTCCCAAGGTTTTTTCCAGTCACCAAAACCGATGCCAACTCTTTTTTGAGGTTGCACCATCCCTCGCACCGATTCACAGACCAAATCTCTTCTGGCCTCTTCCAGTTCTGTCTCAGGCCTCCAAACTCATTTTTCAAATTATTTAAAGATAATTAAGACAAGAGTACCAATTTCAATGTTCTCTTTGATCAGCTATAATTTTAATCATTGAATCAGTATTTTTATCTGTGCTCTGCGTAATGCATCACATGAATCAGTTTTTTAATCTATTAACTTATTACACATTTGTGCTCTGCTTTAGCATCACTTGATTATTTAAAAAAATTGTTTGTTCAGGCCATGACCTTATAGTCAGCCAATTGGCCATTGCTATATTATGTGTATATTGTTTGAATATTCTTTCTATGTTCTCTTTGTTCACCATATCTCACAGGAAAGACAATATGTTAATCACACCTTCTCCAAATAAACAATTCATCTATAAATCAGCGTGGCTGTTTTGTAAAATTGGCTCATTTAATTTTAATTCCTCTTGTTCTTCTGTTAAGAATGAATTACAAAAGTCATTGATGAATGCCCAAAACAGGTATGGTGCTGAATGGAATGACAAAAATTTCACTGAATTCTAAGTTAAACACAATATAATCCAGGTATCGGCAGGCGCTGCCGCCAAACGTCATTATCATGGATATACTTCTTTATTTTCAGCAGCTAGTATGTTAGCGCGCACAACAAGGCGCGCTAGCATTTTACCGCCATTCTAGGTTTCACTGATTTCTGGGCCACAATACACAATATGTCCAATTTGATTCTAATTGTTGCTCCTAATCTGATAATTCTAATGACAGTGACTGCTCCCTATTAACCAACCGACCAACATTTTCGGTCGAACCCTAAAATTACTAATACCAAATTTAAACCCCACATATGCGTGTATAGTCTCCAAATCTTCTCTTATCTCTGCTCTCGGACTTTGTTCTTTTGAATAGAACTATTTGTATACTTTAACAAATAGTGATTTTAACTTTGAGATAAACTGCTATATTATTATATTTTTGTACCAATGTTCACCTAACTTAACGTCTCTCACTGACACCATCACCCGGCAACCAATTTTAAAGTAAAATTTATTAACGATCTGACTACAGACTGGCGGTCAACGTTCCCCGTATAGTAGCTCAACGGAGGGGGTAATCAGGGCACGTGTTAATGAAAAATGTACGTGTCCTTCCACAATCCCTTCTGTTGGGTCACACGTTATTGGGAACTGAGATCGCTATCGTGTAACTAGAAGCAGTATATGCAAAGTAACTTTGGTGATAGGTGATAGGCAATATGAAATTACACATCTTACTTTAACTTTATCCCGTCACCCATGGACTTATTAATTAACGGCTGGTGGTGGTGTCATCGTTTGTCGTACTCAAAACGTTTCGCGGTTGCGAATGCCGGCCCATCGAGGAAAATCTTTTTACTTTGTATTTTAACCATTATAAAGTATGATTAGTCGAATATAGTACTGAGTTCAAACAGTCCCCGAAACGAAAAAGCAAACATATGATTTTTGTTTTCGGCAACTGAATCGTTGATGGGCCGGCAAATATTTGTTGTCGAGTAGTGTTGAATACTCATATTAACATGATTATTGATTTAATTTAGGAATTGTATATAACTATCTTTGACCAAGTTTAATTGTTAATGAGAATGCACCCCAGCACTGGGCGCGCGCGGCGGCTTTGATGTTAGCGGCTACAAGCTTGAAGCTAGGCAGCTGCAGAAAAAACGCCGCGCGCGTTCACAGTTCAGCGTACGGCTTTTCGTTTTTGATTTTACAAATGACAAAGCAACTTTTAATGATTATTAATGGAATTATCGGATATTTATAATTCAATATGTATTGATTCTTCTTTGGAAAATAAAAATTGTATTTTACTTAAAAAATTGTATTTTACTTTGACTTGTTAAAATTCTATTATAAAATTCAACTGATATCAGCCATTATTGTGATGTCTCCATGAATACTCGTAGGCTGTGGCTTTCATTGCTTGAACATATTGTGTTCTGGAAGACATGCAATCATCCTCATCTCGGTGGTCGATATGCCATACCGGTAATTTAGATAAAATGCAATACACATTCCTTTTTCATCAACTGAATGATACACCGCCAATAATATGATTTGAGCTACATTTGAAGGTAACTCAGTTGAGAGGTAGAGGTGGGCGAGTTTTCAGTCACGTTTTCAGTAAAGTTTGTAGTCTGTCTTTTGTGTTTTCTCTAAGTCTACCATATAACACTCTGATAAATTATCCTCAGACCGTATAGTGCCTTGATTATTTCTTAAATTGTTTTTCAAAGATTAGCTATTTCCTGCTCCCTTATGTCTTAACAGAAGATCGAGAGCTCTCTGGGTGATGATCGAAAATTGAGATAGATTAGAAAAAAAATTGGATGGTTTTCGCGACTGTTGAAAAAGGTAGCAATGGATAGGTTCAAAATCATGTTATTTTCATGAAATGTCTCACATAAACTTAATGTAAATTCTTCTTAAATTGTTCTCTAAACAGAACTCTAGAATCAGTATTAGGGTAGATGATAGCCTGAGGATAGAGTATTCAATTTCCGTTGCTGGTACTTTAATCTGTTGGTAAGCTCTCTCTATCATCGGATGAATTAAATTATAATCCATAAATATTTACCATATTTTACTTTAGGTAAGGCCATATGACTAAAAATGAGTTCTCAGAGACCAGTCTCTCCTCAAGTTCGAAATTCTCAAAACTATGTTTGGAACCGCCTTGATGTGCTTGGTCATGGTGCTACTTGTGAGGTATTCAAGGCTTACCACAAAACTACTGGTGAACCAGCTGCTGTCAAAGTGTTCAACAAAGCTGGAATTTCACGGGACATGTACCAACAACAGGTTTATATTCCCATTGTTCATGCTGTACTTGTTTGTGCTAGTTTAGCAACAAATTGAGTAACTGGTGTTATTTTGTTCTATGATTTAGTACAATGTTTACAGGTAGTAGCATATTTATGAGATTACGAACAATAAATAGCTTTTGCAAAATATCAAACAGAAACACAATTTTCAGAGAGAGTTGCAACTGGTGCAGAAGTTGGAGCATAAAAACCTGGTGAAGGTGCTAGCTATTGAGGAAGAGGATGATGTTAGCGTGTCCCGGAGTATAGTTGTTATGGAACTATGTGAAGGGCGCAGTCTTTTCAGCTTTCTATCCTTACCTGAGAATCGACATGGCCTTCAAGACAAAGAGTTCCTAACTGTTTTTAATGATGTTACGGAAGGGATAAAGTACCTCAGGGAAAATCATGTTGTCCACAGAGATATCAAGCCAGGTAAGAGTTTTGGTTGCAGATTAAAGAATTTTAGTTTTTTTCTTCTTAACTTTTCTTCTATTAAATTGATAAGTCAGATATCTTAAATCTTGATCATTGGTGCATTACCAAATTATTGTGATTTGGCATATATTAAATCAGAAATTTTTCATATCAGGCAATATCATGCGCTGTATCAAAGAAGATGGTTCAAGCATGTATAAGCTCACAGACTTTGGTGGAGCAAGGGAGTTGGAGGAAGATGCTGTCTTTATGTCACTGCATGGAACTGAAGAGTACCTTCATCCTGATATCTATGAGAAAGCGTTAGTAGACAGAAGAGCTCCTGCTAACTTTAGAGCTGAAGTTGACTTGTGGAGTTTAGGTGCAACGTTTTTCCACTCAGCTGCTGGACAGACACCATTTAAAACTTTTCATGGTCGTGGAGACAAAGTTACCATGTTGAAAATGACAAAGAGTAAAGATACTGGAGTCATCTCTGGTATCCAGAAAACGAAAGATGGAGAGATTACGTACAGTAAAGAACTTCCATCTAAAGCACCAATGTCTGCAGAGTTGAAGAAGATAATCGAACCTGTCCTTGGAAGACTACTTGAGAGAATTGATAATAAAGCCATGTCCTTTGATGAGTACTTCGACTGTGTTAGTTCCATCAAGGAAATGATAAGCATAAAACTGCTGAATGTTCCAGAGTGCATGACACACACTGTTTACATTAAGCCAGATTGTTCATTTAATGAATTCAAAAAGAGTGTTGAAAATGCCTGTGGAATCCTCCCAGCTGACCAATTCCTGCTGACAGAACGCTACATTGACATTGAGCACTTGGAGAAGAATTTCATGAGGTATGGTGAGCTTTATGTTCTGTCAAAGTCTGAAAGTGATATGGATGTGACATTCAAATCTGCTCCCCTGACGTACACTCGATTCTCGAAAAATGCCTCTGATCTCATTCAATACGACTGCTCTCTATCAATGGCAATGTGTATTGAAGCCTACCAATACAGTCAGGGACTGGATAGATGCATTCTCCACTCGAACCTTGTGTCACATGCGGTGCAGTCATTGATTGATTACTGTGAAGATAGTCCTAACAGGTTGGAGGTAAACATGTCTGTTCTTACGGCTAAATCCCAGAATTTGGAGGCAAGAAGAAAGGACATTCTCACAACCAACGAGGCTTTCATCAAAATCTTGGACCTTCTTGCTGAAATATTTCAAAAGATTGACTCGGGCACAGTAAATAACATTTGCAAGCTGTCAAATAAAACTTTGCAACAGTTTAAATCTGTTCTATCAAACCACCTGATTGGTGCGATTTGCAACAAACTACATTTACCTTGTGTTCTCGACTTTGATAGGTTCCTCAACTCAATCGAGGTGGTTGATCTGAAACTGGTGATCCAGGTTTTATATGAAATACAAGACGAAGCACTAAAAGATTTCCTACAAAACTGTCTGGCTGCTGAAGTGCCAGTCACTTACATCGTGAGCCTACTGGAAATGTATAAATCCAACCTGTCACTGTGGGCCAAACAGAAGATTTGCAGTGGAAGCAGCATTGACGAACAGCTTCACACATTGCACTCGAAGATTAAGGAGATCCAAGCTAACAGCAGTGGGATTGATGGAAAGATCGGCGAGGTGACAGTCCGCTCTGGGGAGCTCTCCAACATCATGAACAACGTGCTCTCCAACATGATGAAGATAAACGAGCAGTTCGAGATGGATAAGAAGCAGAAAGTCAGGGTCACCTCAACAATAAAGATCATGCATCAGTTGAACAGGAACTATTTGGAGACACTGAAAAGGAGAGCGTTTGATGTGGCGAGTGAGGCAGTTGAGGGTTGTAATAAAATAAACAAGTGTCTTAAACCAAGAGTCGAGGAGTTCCTTACATTACAGGTATTATAATATGTGTGTTTACAACTTACTGTGTATTAGTGAATAAAACGTATGAACACAAATCTTTAATGAAAACTTTCATTTGGATGATTCTTTGTTCGAGTAGATCGATCACCATTTTAATCGATACTGGCACTTTCTTTAAAGCCCATAACATGTTAACAGGGACTGTAATTCCAGGAAATTCTGAGGAAATACAGGCTGGAGTACAAGCAGGATTTCGACATGCTGTCGGAGTACGAGAATAACTTGGAGCAGTGGAGATCCCACATGTTTGAGAGTGTATCTGAGCTGGCCAGTCACATAACTTCGGTTAGTTCTTCTTTCTTTAGTCACATAACCTCAGTTAGTTGTTCTTTCTTTAGTCACATAACCTCGGTTAGTTCTTCTTTCTTTAGTCACATAACCTCGGTTAGTTCTTATTTCTTTAGTCACATAACCTCGGTTAGTTCTTATTTCTTTAGTCACATAACCTCGGTTAGTTCTCCTTTCTTTAGCTTCCCTTTTTTTGGGTTCATAATAGATGTGCTGTCAAGGGATACGATTTTCTGTCTTTTTAATTTTACCATGGTTATGATTATGTTAAGGAATATGTCATTTTAAGGAATACATGGTCTAAATCGTTCAAATTTTTGATATCAAGTAATTTGTGTAAGAAGTAGAGCCTGGGTACACTACAAATCAGTAAGGGATGGCAATAAATCTACGGCCATGGGGAAGCACTACCTAGAGGAGCATGCAGACATTTCAATGCCAAACATACCGTTTCGGTTTATAGTTCGAAAAAGATGTAAAGACTATGTGGACCGTCAATTGTGGCAGTCGGTTCTAATAAAACGTGAAAACCCAGAAATAAATACTCAATTGTCTGAGTCCGTAAATGAAGGTGATTGGATAAAATATACTTGGAAGTTAATGTAATATTGAACTTATAAACCTAGATAATTTTTGATTACTTAGTTTTATGAAGGAGCTATCTTGGTAAAATGTTTGTAGTACTATGAGGAATTGTTCACGGCTTGTTGCGGTGTGGTTTCTTTTAGCCGTTATATTTTATGTTTCTTTTGGAAAAATTTGTGATCGTTGTTGTGTTTTAAGATGTTATTTGTTGTTGTTATTTTCGTAGTATTAATAGATTATTTTAACATTGTATTTTTGCAGCTATGTAAGTTTTCAGTACGTCCTGTTTATGACAAAGGCATGTAGCCGAAACGTCGACAAAGAATTATGTTTTAACACACTGAGTGGAGACTCTCATTTCGTCAACTACAATTAAAAATAATTTGTGTAAACATGGAAACCTCCTTTTAAAACTCTACTCCGCCTAACAGATATCGTTGCCGGTGTTAGAATCTAACGAAATGAAAACCGAGCTGATGTCCCGGATTACAGAGTTTGAGGAAACCAACAAAAGAAACAAGAAGCTTGTAGAGGAGAACACCTCAATGCTAAGGAAGCTTCTTGACCTCTGTAATTACAATTTGAACTCCTGATCTGGAGTTTTAACTGTCTTTTGTTTAAATAATTACTGTCAGGTAATTAATAGCTTTTATTTTTTAATTGACTTGTAATTATCAGTGATTGCGTTATTTGCGGTCCATGTTAAGACTGACAGTTCCTGATAAATGTGGTGAACCTCGTCGGGACGTTGTGTGCTTTTATTAAGATTGTTTTGTAAGTTATGTCGTAATTTTGTATGATGTTGAAATTAATAACAGAAGTTTACCTTCTTTACCTTATTCTTAAGAGGTTATCTGTTAGTTACCCTAGCTGTAACTTTTATAGAAGATTGACAATCAGTGATTCCGTTGTAAATTGGATATGATATTCATCTTTTTATTTCTATGTGGAATATTTCTTAAAATCTCAGTTAAGCTCTTTCATTCAAGATTTGTTACGTCTGAAATTGTGCGTTAACACCTTGCAGATATTTTTCTTGTTCACTTATTCCAGATTATGATTAAGCTTCTGTTTTGATTATGTTTATAAAATGTCCATAGCTTAATTAATGTTCTTGATACTAGCTATGTCTTGATAGTTTAACAGATAACAAATAACTAGGCTTAAATCTTAATTAGATTTTAAACAATAATTTAATTTTAAACGAAAATCATTTTATACCTTCATAGATATTGTCAATTTCATATCTTTTAGTTTGATTTTATTTTTGTAAAGTTTTGTTTGACATTGAACTTAACCTGTGGTTGTGCCTACCAAATTGTGTATGTACAATTGCTTAAGTTATAATTTTTAATTCCGATGCCTTTTGATTAGCTTTTGAAGTATTACTATTTGCGTATATTTTACCGTTTTAAATTATTTTCAAGGGCGTGAGGGTATGATCGAGTAATTTTCGGTATGATTTTATGGTTTATGAGTTTATGTATGTTTTTTGTTGTGAAGGGAATGTGTCGTTACATACAATTTCTTCAGAAAATTAATCATTGGCTCAATAATATAATGATGTTTTCTCACTTCATAAATTGCCGTCATGCTGCACAGCTCCTTGCTGGAAAACTGGTCATCTTTATGTTTTTCTCACCTTGTACATTCAAATATTATGGTCACGTGCAGTTGACTCATATCACGTGATCAATGTACGTGACGATGACCAACTGAACCACTTCTTTATCCTTATCTCCTGAGAAACATTCCTTTCAAAGCTTGTTTTGTAAACATACCTCCAGCCATTGTTTTAATTCCAGACTGCAGACTGCAGGTGTATGCGTTTTACACTTGCCCATTCCTATAATTTGACTTATGTCAACTGCAACGTTCTTACGATAACGACAGATGAAATCGAGATGTAATTTTAAAACATTTTAGCAGATAAGAAGCTATACATTCAGCTGTGTTACAAGCCTATTTTCTGCTTATAATTTGATACTTTTCACTGTAAGATAAAACGACGCTTGGCTCGGGTAAAGTATCAGCTATTTATAGAATCGGTTCCTTTATAACCTGTGGTTGAGTAACAAACACCAGTCCAAAGTTGAATTCTGTCGAAATGATATTATCTAAGTTGTAGTTACTATATACTAAAGTACTAACACTATTCTCTATTTCTACACATTTATTAACTCAATATCATTTGTAGAATGAGCTGACAGCACCACACCAGATAATTCAGTAACAGTAGATAAAGAATTACAACAGATAAGAGAGATAAGAGCTGATAAGGGGCGACAATGATAGAGCTGCTGTTCCTCCTCACGATATTGCTGCTACAAGTCCAAGGTATGTGCTGAGTTATTATCCTTTAGATAGAAATTGTATCGCCTCAAATTTAGGAATTTGATCCTAATTACCGCATCTAGTAGTGTCTATGTAAAACGATCATCTAAATCAATTATAGATCACACTCGAAATCCAGGACCTTTACCACACCCAAATGTAACATGCGTAATGTTACACACTAAAATATTACACATAGAATCAACACGTGGACACATCTGGCAACTAACACCAGTGAACAGACACTTAATTATTGGTTAACATACCACAATATAATTATAAGTTATTTCCAAACAATAGAATATTGAGCATGTCCTCCTCCAGGTCCGAATTTCCGCAATTATGTTAGCCTAGTATGAGTAATACATTCTCTCTTTCTCTCCCAGGTTACAGACATCTCAAACCTTTTTCCCAGTTTACACACATAACACCCATTTTGTGTATCTTACTGTTTGTGATAGATATCACTGCTTCCTAAAATGACCATATAAGGTAATATTGTAATGACAATATGTGCAGTTCTCCAGTGAGGGTTGAGGGGATGTTGTAATTAATTGGCGCCTCCCTTGCCTCTCCCTCTCGTTACCCACGCGTTACTCACGCGTTACCCACGTTATTCTTATGATAAGGCACAGTGAGGTAGACAGTCAGTAAGATAATGTAGTTATGATGCGCGTGTAATAATAAATCTATCGAGATATAATTATCTTTCATTATCTGAATAGCTGTAGTACTCTGAGTTCCTTTCAGAGGTAATCTCATTATGTTATTGTTGAATGGACCACGAGTTGTACACTGTTCTCTGTGTCTGATTAGTTCCCACACTCCCAAACACCAGCTGTTTACATAATTAAAACATGTTCCGTTCCCTTTCATTCTAATCGTCACAAATTGGACACACAACTCTGATACTCAGCAAAGTTATTTTAGGTAATAACCCTAATCTAAGCATGACAACTGACAAGGCGTTGCATGTTACAGTTGTCACCCGAGCTAGATATACACCAATCAACATCTCTGATTTGCAAATAGTTCTAACCTCAAAAAGTAAACAATTGCGTATGTTTACCTAGTATAACAGTAGATTCTACATCACACAGTACACACTTACTCTGTACACTCACACACTCAAACACACGCAATCATGTTCTACATTTCCTGATATCTGCAAAACAATCTCACAGCTACACGTAGTAGTAAGTATACTTTAATACGTTTATTAAGGTGAGAAAGTTGGCGGCTTCTATCCGGAAGTAGTTGAAATCTAGTCTAATCACCTGGGGACACTCGGTGGTAATGTTGAGTATTGATACCGGGTGTTGCAGAAGAATTAGACAACATACTTCCTGATTAGCTTATTTCAATGTCTGATATGTTGGTTCCTCTGTTGAGCCATCCAGCCAATTATCACCTAGTGGTTTTAGGTTTCTGATAATGGTGATAAAACAGTGATAACAGATATGACTTTTGAAATCATTGCATGACAATGTTGCTGTGCAATCAGCCTAATTGATCTCATTTGATCGATTCTAATTCTAATTTCTATCGCTTGGTATTTGTGTTCAAGTAAGTTTATTATAGTCTATAAACACAACGTCAGGGCACCTAAATGCTCTAGGTCCACAGTAATAATTGTTCTAGCTACAGGAAACCAATTGCAATAGCTCCCCACAACAATTACACCAACCAGTCCTCAACCTGTGTATAATACATCCTGGGTGTACATGTCTAAGTGTATTGTTACCATAGCGTTCATACACATTCCTGGACGAAAATGAGAAACACATTCTGTAAATCACAAAAACTGACATGAAATATTTAATTTACAATACAATATTGTTGCCGAGTTCCTATGATGATGGTGTAACAGTACGTTTAACATTTAACAAACATCATGCTGACTATTATACATAACACCTTACAGCACAAGACAGTCAACAATTAGGCCTTATGTGGCGGCCCCCGAGTAAGACGTTCTCTTGTGTTAATAAGATCAATCATTATTTAAAGTGGATCAATCATAAGATTTGTGTTCATGTTTACTGATTTTTTTAGTGTAACTAATTTTATGATGTGAATATGATCAAGTCATGGAGGGGGAAATACCTTAAAAATGCTCGATTACAGAAATGAGTACCTGCTCTCAAAAAAACTTTATTTGGTGTGGAAATGATGCGCAAAATGGTCACTGGACTTCCTGTGAAGTGATTTGAGCTGGACGGATTTGGTGTATGGGCCTGAATGATTCACTAAGTTTTAAGGAGTGGTCCGAACTCTGTTACATTAAATTTGTGACTTCAGGACCCCATTCGTTTTCTCATTACGATTAATTTCACATCAGATGATGATGCACGTAAAATAAGTGACGTAAAATCCTGGGCCACCCGATCTCGTCTGCTACCATTTCACTAAAAATGAGGTCACTGTCCCTACCCCTTACACCCACACATTGTGCGTGTGACCCTGGACACTTAGCAGCATTATGGGATAATTAGACCATTAGAACAATGGAATGGTGGAAATTGTCTGGCTCTTGGAGTTGGAGCTGCAGCGGCTGCTGTGCTATGATCCACTCCGCAGATCTTGTTTTGTCAAGCAGATATAAATTCATTAAGCAGGGATTTATGTCATGTTACATTATTGGTGAGCGAAGGGTCTGGTCCTCGCCAATGTCTTGCCGATTAGGTCATTGTGACGTAATATGGTGCTAATTTTATGTAACGCGCGGTACAAGATTTCGTTGACCTGGAAGAGGCCTCTCGCATTTAGAAAATTTCAAATATACGCGCGCGCGGTGGAATGTAAACATGACAATCGACTAGGATCAAATATCGAATTATAAACACCTGGATTGAATTACGTAACACTGCCATAAGTTCCATTATAAGATTTGTATATATGTATTTAGTGTTCCATGTTGATGAACAGACATATGTTTAATTCTATTTCTCTTGAGAACAAATGTTTTCTAGAAACTGGACACAACATTTGAAACAATGGGTATTTAAGCAAACATAAATTCTATGGAATGAGTGTCATAATCATGTTATTGCTTCAGGAACGACATGGCCTACTACAAAGTTAATACATCCACCGAGTGGTATCCTTATAGAAGGAGCTGGAAGGGCAACAAACATTACATTTGATGTTTCCGGCGTACCCTTCCCAGAAGAGAGAAAATGGTACAAAGATGGTGCCGAGATTACAACATTTAATAATATGAAGTAAGTTAGCAATTTAGATTAATGATATGAAATAGGTTAGGCTCACTACAGATTTAAATACAAGGTGGTTTTATTGGACGAGCTGAGTCTGTGATAAGACATTATATGACTTATCAGCAACTGTATGGTGTCAAAACAATGTCCTACAATCTTTTTCAAGTTTACTCCGGAAGACTCAACATTCACTTTGTGATTTATTTGTTGGTAATAATGGTCATTAAATATTTGATTAAACAATTGTTTTACTTTTCAGTGTTGACGAATCAGGCGGCAATCTCATATCTTTAAAATTTAACGCTCTCTCGAAAGTCAATGAAGGGGTCTATTACTTCGTTGTCAGAGAGTCTAAGAATACTCTAGAAGCTAGTAAAAGTTTGGAAGTTAGGCTAAAAGTATCATGTAAGTAACATAACTGAAGAACTGAACGGGTATTTAATTAAAATTGACACTCAAATGCTCTAAAAACTACCAGAGTTTTTATTTTAACTGAACTCATTTTGTTGCTATTGTCTGAAGAAATCTTTAAGACACATTCCCCCAATAGTTTTAGACGATTTTCAAGACAGTGCTGAAACACAGACAAAGACTGCTCAGGTCGGAGAGTTTGCTCGTCTTGAGTGTAGAGCACCTGCACACTTTGGAGCCTACCCTAAATTCTCGTTAGTTTTACCACTTATCACCCTAAATTCTTGTTAGTTTTACCACTTTTCACCCTAAATTCTCGTTAGTTTTACAACTTTTCACCACTTTTTACCAATAAGTATCATTTCCCTAAAATCTAGCTTCTAATCAGATAGAGATGAATAAATTGGAGTCCTATCTTTCAGCAACAAAAAAGCGGCCTACCTAATGTTTCATGATGTGAAGGATCCCCAAGTAAACAAAACATACTTTAACATTAATATCTCATATCAGATGGAGCAAGGGAGCCGAGAAGATAGTTGAATCAGACAGTATATACGTGTCAGAGTACGGTGATCTCATTATCATGCAGGTAGCATTTGAACAGTACAGCTCTGACTACAGATGTACTATCAAGATAGACAGCCTAATGGAGGGAGAGCAGGAAAAACAAGGTAATTTGGAATTTAGGATATTTAGAATTGTATCTAGAATTTAGATTTCGTGTCCAACGTTGGGAATGTGGCAATTTGGAGAATTTTCTCCTTCGGGAACCTTTAATTATCCTAGAAAGAATTTGTATTTTATACTTCTTAATTGAAGTTGTCGTGTTTTACACTTTAACTGTATTAACCTGATAACACAATGAAACAAAATATTGATTATTGATTTGCCTCTATTGCAACGTTCATACAACTCATTGTATAATGTATATTAGTTCATGTTAGTGCAATGTGCATGAAACGTGATCTCGCTATATGTTTTCGATTGTTAAGTGTAGACTAACTGTAAAAACAAATGCATGCACTGATATCTTGGTTAATCATTATGATATTTTTGTTCAAGGTTACGATCGCGTTCAGTTCAATCTGATCGGAGTCATGTCTGAGGCCCAACCTGACAAGTTATCATACTCCTCATTTGCATTGTGTTGTTTTAGATTTGCGGATGGGAAACTAGTGCAAGGAATAGGTGGCGCGATGAAATAATATGAGGAGTGAATTTTATTGACAATATTTTCTTAAGTTACCTGGTCTTGAACAACTAGGTTGTTTTAAGAAGGTGAACTCATTTCCCAAAGTGCAGGTCACATTACTGCTCCCTTTGTTGAGAGCTTGTAAGTCAGAACATGTCACTTCCACGACGGTTCCTGTGACCACTGGAAACTTAATTGATGTTCCAATCGTATCGGTCCAGTCAGCATCGAGTCCAGTGCAGCCATCTGATGAAATGTTTTTTTGAAATGTCGTTTTTGCAAGAGAAAATCGAAAATGCTTCTGACCCTCTCCTTATGGCTATTTTTGGAACCTAGAATTAGAAATAATCGAATTATAACTTATTATAACATAATTATCATTATGATAATGAGTTATTTGAAGCTTAATTACCCGGTTGATGTCTATAGAAGTCAGAAGCACTGTCGTAGGAGGGATTAAAATACACCATCTTTACATTTTTATCCCAATTTCTGCTCCAGCTACTCTCACTACACGTTGAAGAGGACAGTAGAATGTTGAGCACCTCCACCTCATTACAGTCCACCACAATTCTGATTCCCGAGGTCTTGATTAGGTGGATCCTCCACACCTTTTCCTTAGCAGAGGGCCATTCAGTTTCGAAGTTGGTGTCAGATGTGCTGCAGCGGTTGATCCAGTACTTTGGAGTATTGAAGAAGTAGAGACCAACTCCTCCAATAAAGTCACCATCCCGCCTCTTGTAGAACCTCACTACTATTCTATCATCACTCCCCAACTCGCTGTCTGTCTTGATTTCTAGTGGGGAGTTCTCCAGGTCATAGTCTATGAAGCTGTTTTGTTGTACAGTTATCCAGCCTGTGAGTTAGTGTGTGGAATTACAAATTTGTAGTGGCAAAAGGCGAACAATTTCTGTTGTATTTAAATTTCACACGAAAAATTCTATGAGTTGGAAGGCTCCGTTCGATTGATAAAATTCCAAGAGACTTTACTCTTTGTAGCACCCTACCTTCGTTGGCAGCGAAGATCTTCGTGATAAAGCTACTCACTACCAATATCATCATGATGTCTGTTATCCACTTCTTCATTTCTTTCAGTCTTCTTTTAGCCACAAACGGTGTAGATACTCACACAGCTTTAAACACGTATTCAAAAGCAAACGGGTTCGGACTAATAAATCAGCTTACAACAAGAGCATCTTTTGTCGTCTCCTCGCTTTAACACGGAGATCGCTAGGTATTGCTTGCGGAGGTAATGCAACAAATCTCGAGCTTTTCTTTGTTAACTTTTAAGATCTGAATAGTATGCTCCTGTTGGGTAATTTGGTAAATGTCGATTAACTCCGCAAGATGTCAGACGATGTGCAGATTTATTCAATATTCAAAGTCTGGCTAATAACGTAAACGTCTATGTAAAATGTAAATGACATAATATGCTATACGGTCTGAGGATCATTCTAGAATTCTGGCAGTGTATACACTACATATTACATGAAGTAAACTGAACAGCTTGAACTTCTTGCTACAGACTGGGTCTCAAGTAAACCTTGTTTGAACTTCTCGTATGAAATATTAGAATTCAAAAGTACCTGTTTGGTCAGAAATAGAATGTATCATTATAATATTATGTGACATAAAATAAATCGTGAGATATAATATATGATCTGGCAATTCAGAAAACTATGTATATTATTTGCAGAATGTGAACACATGTCTGCACTGGTGACCTAACCTGCTAACTGAACCTCTCTCTCCCCCAGGTCCTGCTGTGTCACTTATAGTAACCGGTAACCTGCTAACTCTCTCTCTCTCTTCAGGTCCTGCTGTGTCACTTATAGTAACCGGTAACGCTGCCTCCTACGTTCCTCCTAATATAGCTCTACAGCCAATCGACCTTAAAATCGACGCTCAGGTAGGCGTTGAATTTCGTTAAAAAATTATGACAATTCTTTTGCATTTTAAGGACCATTCATAATAGGAAACCCAAACTTGTTCAAAAGATTAATAACCAGTCATTAACCAGTCACAGACCTGTAACCAGTAAACAGTTGCTGAGCCATGGCTAACCTCTTAAAAAGCTTGTAACTGACTATTACACCACTCAGGTTAAAGAGACGTTCCGAGTGGAATGTGCCGTTAACGGTTACCCCACCCTACCCAGTATCAGGTGGTATAAAGACAGTGTCCAGATTGGCTCCAGTGGTATTATATACGATCTGCAGAACAGAAACTTTCTCAAGATTTCCAGTCAGTCTTGATTCTTTTCTTTTCTTTACCTTTTTGATGCTATTATCGTGCCCGAAAGTAAAAGTTTTATCTTATAGTCTTTATGCGATGTTTCAGAAAAGAAGAAGCAAATATTCGTAATCTTGCGAGTTGCGACTTTTAAAATGATCGGAGTTCGGACCCTTTTCAAGAAAAAGCCACTTTTGGAGGGTCCATACCCATATATTGCCATAACTGCTTTAAATTTAATTAAATCATTATAACAAAAATATGTAGAAAGAACCTGGCCCCAATATCCCCTGCTGATGTTAACCTCTCCTCTCCAGTTCCCCGAAGTGGCGGCAGTGTAGGTGGAACATACCGATGTGAGGCTAACGACGGTACTAAACAGATCTACGCTAGTGCTGAGATCGAGATACAGACCAAACCTATTATAACCACTGGGTTACCTACGGCGGAGGTCAAGAAATCATCTGGTAAGTTAATTAATTGAATAATTAACTTACTAATCAAGTTAATTTGGAGAGGTAGTGCAGTTTAGTTCAGTGCAGTTTCCCGACTGTCAAATGCTGGGTTAACTAAGCTCCCTTTTTGTTAATACATAATGTTTTATATCACACAGCAATAAACATGATACCGTGTAATGTACCCAACACTCACCGTAATCCTCCCCTTGTCAGGCTCGACCATGGACCTGTCCTGTGAAGCTACCTCCACTCCAACTCCACAGTACAAGTGGTACAAGAACGCCAACCTGCTCACAAATGATAATTTGAATCACGCGATAAACGGCGGCAACCTTTCTATCTCTAACATCAACTCTCTGAACAGGGGTGTTTATCAGTGTGAGGCTTTCAACGATATTGGTGAGTGGACCCCCCCCCCCCCCCCCCCTCGTGTTTAATGTGAATTTTTAGGCCTGTCGTCTGGTAAATCAAGATCATGAGCCGTAAACAGTGAAAGAGATTTCATGAAGGTTTACCTGCATTAAAATTTGGTTCAGCATTTCTTCCCTTATCCCTAGAGTTTAATCGGTAGCAATTTATAGATATCTCTATTTAAATATGACCCTAAAATGCCCTTTTTAGGAAGTACGATCTCTACTGGAATGATAAGAGTACAAGAGAGACTGACTTTTGTAATCAGACCAAAAGATGTGGAAGCATTCCTCGGAACAGCGGCCACTTTCAACTGCCAAGGCAAAGGAGACCCTAAACCTACCAGTCTCAGATGGGAGTTTAACGGGGGCACCCCTCCTGCTACTGTTAGTTATTAGTTACTTCTTTTATCAGTCAATAACTAAACAAAAAGAATAACCTTTTTTGACATAATCAATCAATACAATATCATGATAGTAGGTGTCATGCATAAAAACTAAGTATGGGGAGGGGGGAGGGGGAAGGCAACCCCTTTTCCCATTTATTCCTAAACTTCTTGGCATCAATGTTAGCTGTTTTGAGCACGGATAATGTTTCAATTCCCTTCAATTTTACTAGAAAGTGTTGCCTAATTTAGAAAGAACTGCTCAAAGTTAGAAACTATATAATTCAATTGCAATATTTAAACAAGCCCTGTGAACTTTGAGTAGATTTAGTCCTTACTTCTCAGGAATATTTCCAGTCTCTCACGCCTTTCAACTTGAGCTTGAGATAATTGTTTGTTGAGCAGCTTGTGTGAGAACTGGAATTGTATTATGTGATTGAGTGGTTATGGAGTGAACAAATTTTGAAGTCAAAAAAATGTTCCTTCAAGTACTTTATTATACGTTTCACGTAATTGCATGAGCCCCAATCCTATGAAATTCAATAATTTAACCAGTATTATAAAGTAATGAGCTAAGGGAGATTCATCACAAGATAGTCCCCTAACTGGTATTATGTTCTGATTCACTAACACGCTGTATCTCAGCACGACTATACCAACAACCTGGTGAACCAAGCCACCTACAAGATCCCCAAAGTGACGAGCTCAGAAAGGGACGGCAGGGTCAGCTGCATCATCTCGTCCCCTACCAACCTCTATCCAGAGGACACTGCCACTGCTATTGTTACCAGTAAGTACATTCCCAATCTTATTGTTTTACCTTGAGAAATATGGGGGCCGGGGCCATCACATAATGCACTTTCTGATGAGCAATGTGCTTTCTCATCAGCGAGATAAATAAGCTGGATTCGGTCTCTGTTGGTGATTTTTACATTGAGACTGAACTGATAACTGATCACTGAGTATGATTATCCACCAAGCCAAGCTGTCAAGGGTCAGTGAATTTTTTTCATTAGATTCTTTTAACGGTTAAAACCATTAATTTTTTTTTGAAAATTCAATTTATTATTATATGGACACGTTCATTTGAGTTTGAGGATATTGGTAAATATAAGTGACCAGTCATAAAGACAGCCCAGTTACCAGGCGACCATGGGGACTAGGGGGCTTATCTTTTTTCTGGGGTTCGATTTTTTCCGGGGGGGGGGCTGCCGCCCCCCTAGCCCCCCCCCCTGGCTACGTGCCTGGCCGGGGGGGGGGGGTTCCGGTGAGACGACTGCTTTTTACAATTCCCCATATTTGGAGCTAATAGTAATACGTTTATTGACTTATTATGTGTACAGTGCTCAGTGCTCACACTGACCTCCACAGTTAGAGAGGGCCCACAAGTTAAGGCCACACAAAAGAACATCACCGCCAACGAGGGAGAACAGAGAGACTTGACGTGCATGGTGGAGAATGTGGGAAACAGTGTCAATTGGAAGTGGCTCTTCAAGGACACTCTTATTACTCAGGACGATGATAGGAGGTTTTTATAGATTTCTTGCAAAATCCTGATGATTTAAGCACCCAAAATGTCGAGAAGTCCTTATACCTGTTATTATTCGTTTGAGTCAACTTTAAAGTTTTAGTTTTAGCACTTATTAATCCGCGGGTCATCCAACCGAAAAAGAGTACAAGATCATCATAAACCTAACAGAGCGTTCTCAGGATAACAGTAGAACATAACATGATCGAGATCCGGGCACTGACAGGTGCTGATCAGGGCACCTACACATGTCAAGCTGATGAGAACGGACTCTCCAACTCTGACACCATGTTCATTATGGTATGAAATTAACTTTATTAGTATACTTTTTATGCAGTTTGGTAAATTGTAGTAGTAGGGAAGCTTCTGTTTATTTTACTTGATTCAACTTCGTCCCCATGAACATTTCTGTGGCAGAACACCCTTTACACCAAAATTACACTCACAGTTTCTTGGAAACCAATAATATTTCCACATCTAATCCACGTGACTCACAAGAGTTTAATTAAATTTCCTTAACTTTGACAATATGTTCGAGGGATACCGGAAGACCGAACACCTTGAATTTAAATGATAGCTTAATTCTTTAATTGATTCCAAGTTTACTAACATGTCAGCATGGCTAATGAGGATTAAGGACACATACATGATACTATACACTATAATACAGTATACATAAAAACAGGAAGTTTATCTTGCGCACCACTCTGCACCAAAACAATTTTTTGGGAACACCTATGTCTGTGATTGGAAATTTTCTGGTTTAAATTTAATCAAGAATAGGCTTATCGAATGAGCATGTGATTTAATTGTATAGTATATAGATACAAGCTGTTTCAAAGTTTGAGAGTGTTCATAAATTTGAAAAATAATTGAAAGTGTTCAAGTTTTCTTTTTACAAATATTCAAAGATACATACAAATCAAATGTAACATAAATGTAAGAGTAACTTCTCAAATCAAGCCCCCAACAATGCTTGTCATCGTTTTAAATAATTTCGATGAATATATCACAGTTCTCACAACTAAGCTGTCCCTTCCAACAGAGATAGCGGCTAAAGTTCGTCATTATTTTCTTTTGTGAAGGGAAGGAGGTAGAATGGCTCCCTTGTGTTACACATTATGCTCTGCACTGAACAATCGATCCATGTTAGTTTCTTATCCATACAGACAGATATCTGGTCAACTAGCTGTCTAGATGAGCCGTCTTTCTCAGCAACTGTCCTGCACCAATAAGTCGCCTTTTTCTTCATCGCCTTGTCGAGCTGGTCAAAAGTGTAGGATTCACGGGGATCTGGCACGATTCCAGCATTTTTCAGTAACTTGTCCATGTCCAGCTTATGGTTTAAAGAGAGAGCAGTATTGAAGTAGTCGTGAGGGGACTGTAGCTCGTCAGTGCAGCAGGTGCCATGTTTGCAGTACTCGTACTTCCAGAATTGAGCGTCTCCGCCACTCTCGTAAGTGGGCCACCTTTGGCGCATCATGTCCACTAGGTCGGGTAGTCTGGAGACGTTGAGGTGACAGGAGCTGCCTGCACAGTCCACTGGATCAGCACTCCCTCTCTTGCTCGGCCACAGTCCATGTATTGTCCAGTACTTTACTACTCTAGGTAGTGGTGATATGCAGGCAGGGCCGGCTTTGTAGCAGGAGTTGGGATACCACTGTCTCACAAGTTTGAAGGTATCGTAGGTGGTGGTATCTGTAGAGGCGAGGGTGTGAGAGAGCAAGAGAAGGGAAGTAAGGAAAACTAACATGGTGTGGGAGATGTAGTGAGCAGTCACTGAGCTGCTATATTTATAGTAGGTTGAGTTGTACCAAAGATTTGGTACTCAAGTTAAATATTGTGCCTGTTGAGTGTTGGGTTACAAGTGTATATGAGTCAAAGCGTAAGCGAAAGCTGAATGCGAGAATTTCCCATGTCATAGTTTCTATCTTCAGTTCAAGTCCCGGTTTATAATCTTATTATACCAGATTTTATTCATAACCATAATCACTATAATCATTAAAGACTAAGATGTCACATTGTCACAGCGTCACATAAAGTTGTCTTGTATGGGTTCGGATTGGAAATTTATCGACCTTTACCTTATAAGTCATAATATATTCAATTGTTTTCACAATACAAATGTTTTACTCGGAATCTTATCACATATAATACCATAATATTCACGTTATTAAGAAGAACATTTAAAACAATACTCTAAAATTACAATTTCTTTTGACAGGAGAAATTGTTCAAACTGTCTTTTTCTTGTGGTTTGAGTAAATTGAATTGGGTATCTAGTTTTTGGAGTATTGTGGGGTTAGCAATTTTGACATCGGTAATCTTTATTCTAATTTTGATTGTTGATATAAGCGGGATAAAAATGTTGTATTTAATTATGTATTACAATTTAACAAATACACATACGAACAAAATGTAACATACATTTTACTATGATTTCTCAAATCACGACCACATCAATGTTTGTGTTCGTTTTGAATTCACAGTTCTCACAAATAATCTGTCCTTTCCAACCTCATCTCAAAATTACATTAACAGAGACGAAGGTTACAGTTCGTCGGTAATGTCTTTTTTGAAGGGAAGCAGGTAGAAAGGCTTAGCTCTGTTGCACTTTTTACTCTGCGCTGAACAATCGATCCATGCTAGTTTCTTATGCATACAGACAGATATCTGGTAAACAAGCTGTCTAGAAGAACCGTCCTCCTCAGCGACTGTCCTGCACCAATAAGTCGCCTTTTTCTTCATCGCCTTGTCGAGCTGGTCAAAAGTGTAGGATTCACGGGGATCTGGCACGATTCCAGCATTTTTCAGTAGCTTGTCCATGTCCAGCTTATTGTTTAAAGTGAGAGTAGTACTGAAGTATTTGTGGGGGGACGGGAGCTGGTCAGTGCAGCAGGTGCCATGTTTGCAGTACTCGTGCTTCCAGAATCGAGCGTCTCCGCCATTATTGTAAGTGGGCCACCTTTGGTGCATCATGTCCACTAGGTCAGATATGGTGGAGGGGTCGAAGTGACATGTGGTACAGTTCACTGGGTCAGCACTCCCTCTCTTGCTCGGCCACAGTCCATGTATTGTCCAGTACTTTACTACTCTAGGTAGTGGTGATATGCAGGCAGGGCCGGCTTTGTAGCAGGAGTTGGGATACCACTGTCTCACAAGTTTGAAGGTATCGTAGGTGGTGGTATCTGTAGAGGCGAGGGTGTGAGAGAGCAAGAGAAGGGATGTAAGGAAAACTAACATGGTCTGGTAGATGTAGTGAGCCATCAGTCACTGAGCTGCTATATTTATAGTAGGCTGAGTTGTACCAAAGATTTGGTACTCAGGTTAAATATTGTGCCTGTTGAGTTACTGGTTTATAATTTATATGAGTCAAAGCGTAAGCGAAAGCTGAATGCAAGAATTTCCCATGTCATTGTTTCTATTTTTGAGACGTTTCTTAATCTTATCTTGCCAGATTTAATTCACGACCATAATCTTCATATTAAGGAGTCAAAGGGTCAAACAAAGTCGAAAGCGAGAAGTCGTCTTGCTAGCCACACGGAGAACAGTTTCATAGATTCTATTTTTGAAAAAATTGTATTCCGGATCTTATCACATTTAATTCACGACCATAATATCCAGATTGAGAAGTCAAGACAACGTAAAACAATACTCTGAAGTTACAATTTTAGCAGCATATCTTTTGCTCTTCAAATATTTCTAAAATCACGAGTTTTAAAGTCCATTCACGTAAAAATTTTGCTAAAATTCCGGTTAAGATTTGTTTTAATAGGCCCAAGAAAAGGCTGAAAACGCTAATTACTTTCTTGATTAGAGTTTTATTAACTCATGGAGTAAAACTATATTCTATAAGTCAAATCTTTAAAATTCGTTCATACTAGTAATTACTATGTATAAAACTATTTTCATAATAATTTTCATTTCTCATAATCTTACTACAACGTTAAAGATCCAGCTCTAAGTTCAGTGTCAGTCTCCCGATATTTTTTCCCATTTTCAACTGCCTGTGAAACATAATTTTCTACAACATTAACAAAGTGACCCTCCTCAACCCCTAAACTTGATGCACATTCAACATCTGCTTCTTTCTCAGCTATCACTTTGTGTAACTCCGGTGACATGGAAAAAGCTCCATCGTCTTCGATTCTCAATCCTGAATAACCTAATGGAAGGAACGGTTCGTCCAGTAATTCTTTGTTAAATTCCTTCCACATCTCCTCGTAATCCCTTTCAGTTTCAACTCTTACCATTATCAACATCAGGGCCATGAACCGTCTACTTGCTGCCATCTGATTTTGTCTTCTCCCACTCGGATTTAAGGAGCCATTGATGGCAGATACAAGGGTAGTGACAGTTCCCAATGCCGCTCCAAAATAGTGAGAAACGGGCAGCAGTGTGGACAGGGTAGTCATTGCGGATAAAAATATGAGAGCCATACTCAAGATGTTGTGGACTCGGTCCCAGTATTGCGCTAGTTTTCTATGAGATTCAGCCTTGACACGAGTCATCCCGACGAATGATTCCCAGTTTTTTGCCATCCCCATGGTGTGCTTTTGGTCTGAAACATGTCGTTTGTTAGACGGGGAATCAGGGAATGATATGATATTGATATTTAAAATATTAATCTTAGATTAATGTAGGAATGACCCCATCCATCTTAGAATATCGTTATTGTTAACAACTGAATACATACATTGAGTAGAGGCAGATCTGTCATCTGGAGCCAACGTTTATTTAGCAATCAAACTTGAGTTACTCAGGTTTTGTTAAAGCATCAATGTACGATACATTATGTACCTAACATCTAAAAAATATGAGCCGAGGCCTCACCCAAATATTTGTAGCAAAATAATTTTTTAAATGCCCAAATTGCTAGTTTATTTTTCGCGATCAAACCAAATGTTGTAGTGCCAAACCACTGCGAAAGTAAACTACCTACATTCACAAATAAAATGCACAGTTGGGATGCGTTTTAATAATTTAGGATGAAACGTTGCAAGTCGTGAAAACAGTTGAAAATTACAGAATGAACCATTAAAACTGCGAATATTAACACGATACACACTAAAGAATCAAGTACTTAATATCTCAACTTTCATTAAGTTGTATAACTCAACTAGCTTATTGTCTCACAAACAACTATTAATCATCATGTAATTATTCTTCATGGTGCATTGCAACTGTGATCTTCTGAAAAATATGACTGTATTGGTTTTTATCTTTTATCTAATACATAGTATAATGATAAGCGTTATCTCAGGTGAAGACTATGCCGCGTATTACACTGGACGACACTTTACGTATTGGAGAGGGTGCTGATGCTAGGTGAGTTATCTTATAGCTGCTAGGTAGCGCAGAGGCTAGATCCTCTCCTTCTCAGTCGGGAGGTTGTGGGTTCGAATCTCAGTGATTACGTACTTTTCTAATTATTCAAATAACGTTAAATTCATAACATGTTAATAAATGCATAAAGGTGTTTCTAAATTAGTTCATATAGGTTATCAGGTTTTCATTTAAAAATGTGTACTTTTCATGAATTTTTGTTTAAATTTAACCGGCACAGGTTCCCTTTACAACTCATCCTCCACAGTAAGTATAGTGTTGAGATTTCAAGCTCCTCAATCTCTTTTTAACTTCTGAGGGTTACCCTTAATTGTGGGCATGAGAAAGGTGTTTTTGGGGAGTCGGGACGTGTGTGATATTTTATGTAACATCTTGATCTGTCTGCTGTGCGGTGTGATTGCAAAAAGTGGAGCTGAAGTGGTGGGGTGGTTAAACCATGGTTTTTAGTTGGCGGACATGTATAAATTATTAAATCAAACGTTTTCTCACAATTTATTTGATTATCTTCTCAAAGCATTTGGGTTCCCACATTACAAACTTAAAGCACAATCTCTATCTGATTACTTGTCTGTTATCTCATTTATTTAATGGAATTAGCGGACTTGATATCCACAAATATTGTAAGGCGATACTCATGTGTATATTTTAAAATTACTTATATTCACCCATCAAAGTATTCATTACGCGTGACTGTAGTCAGCCAACTAACGCGTGACTGTAGTCAGCCAACTAACGCGTGACTGTAGTCAGCCAGCTAACGCGTGACTGTAGTCAGCCAGCTAACGCGTGACTGTAGTCAGCCAACTAACGCGTGACTGTAGTCAGCCAACTAACGCGTGACTGTAGTCAGCCAACTAACGCGTGACTGTAGTCAGCCAACTAACGCGTGACTGTAGTCAGCCAACTAACGCGTGACTGTAGTCAGCCAGCTAACGCGTGACTGTAGTCAGCCAACTAACGCGTGACTGTAGTCAGCCAACTAACGCGTGACTGTAGTCAGCCAACTAACGCGTGACTGTAGTCAGCCAACTAACGCGTGACTGTAGTCAGCCAACTAACGCGTGACTGTAGTCAGCCAACTAACGCGTGACTGTAGTCAGCCAACTAACGCGTGACTGTAGTCAGCCAACTAACGCGTGACTGTAGTCAGCCAACTAACGCGTGACTGTAGTCAGCCAACTAACGCGTGACTGTAGTCAGCCAACTAACGCGTGACTGTAGTCAGCCAAACAGGCACCATGTCTGATCGAATAAGAGATCGCTGCCCTGTTTGTAGTATTTTCATAACCACTGGCTAAAACCTCCTCCTTATATTACTGACGGAATGCTTTGATAAGTATATAATATATATGATATGTGATATAATTATATATATATGATAAGTATATAATATACCCGATACATTTTCTAACTAACGTTATCTCAGGTTAACATGTAAAGTGACCTCAAACCCAACACCAGCCATCTCCTGGATCCGTAATGGACAGACTATCAACAACTCTGCTAAGTTCACTATAGATCAACCTAATGATGGTACTTCTATCTTGGTCGTCAGCTCCGTCGACAAGGTATGTCTGCACTCTGCACTCTGCACTCGCTACCGTCATTTTTATAGAAACTTCACTGTTGTTCGCTTTATTCCTATCAGGAGTAAGCACAGAAGTTTAAGAATATTTTGCTGGCAGCAGTTTTTGTAAGTAGAACTATTAATAAATGGTAGTTCACCTTTATTCTAATCTGGATGCGCTTCTTCAGGCGACTGATATCGGAAAGTACGCTTGTAAGGCTTCTAACGAACTCGCTACAAAACAGTCAGAGATCGATCTAGTTGTGGTGGCAGCATGCGAGGTACGTCAAATATCTGAATTAATTTAAAACTGCATAAACCATACAATTTAGTTCAGGCGTGTAGAAAGATGTCTGTATATTCCGGATTCCCTAAATTCACCTCACATATGACGTCATACATTATGTCTGTTCCTGACCTAAAATTGCACGAGAAATCGATTTAACTAGGTCTCAGAACCCACAAACACTTCCTTATCCCTCAAAATTGATGTTTTACAGTTAATACGAGCAACAAGCAACTTATATTTTGATCATTCGGTTCAACTCATGACCTAGAGAGTTAAGGAATAAGGGGGCAGTCAGAGTCTACAAATCTATCTTCTCCTACATTTTGTGAGCAATCACCCTGAAACTTTCAGAAAAATGTTGAGATAGGCCTTTGATCTTGGACCTGGAAAAATCGTCAAAAAACCAGATCCAAGATATTAAAAATCGAATTTTCAGGGTGCGCGATCAAAAATTGCTTGCGCAATACAATTACACACAAGCGCTGACCTTTGACCGGCGATAATTTCGGCTAGGAACAGTATTTTTCTACCGGATCAAAAGCATCTGATAGATATCACTCCCCTCTATCAGAAACAATAATTAAAAAGTCGTTTTTGAGAAAATTTCCATGAAGACCCCCCTGCCCCCTTAAGCTGAAACCGAAATTTTAAGGCAATCGTCACCTTAACTGATCAAAAAGGTACTAACACAATTGAATTCGTGTTTTACTAGCCTGTCACGTGACCAAAATATTTTTTGCCCATAACTCTCTAGGGAAGCATTTTTACCCTACGTCATGGAAGGAGATTCGGAATCAGCGTCCAAAAATACACAGAATTAGGTTACTTTCACACCCTCAGGGCCTTTTCACAAGAATTTTTTAAATTTGGGCGAGTGATGTAGTGGGAGTGCTCGTCGACGGTCTAATACCCGTCTAATATTTGGAACAAATATTTTACAAGTATCACCCGTTAAATCCTTATCCCTCAAAATTCATGTTTCACTCAAACGAAGAACATTTTGATCACTCAAACGAAGCACATTTTGATCACTCAAACGAAGAACATTTTGATCACTCAAACGAAGAACATTTTGATCACACAAACGAAAAACATTTTGATCACTCGAACGAAGAACATTTTGATCCTGCAACAAAAGAACAAGGAAAACAGGTACTATCACAATTTTCAGAGCAGAGCACGATAGCAAAGTCAAAAGAAACACATACTAGGTAACCTAACCAATACCACAAAACAATCATGATAACAACTGAATTACATTTATTCTGTACGAGGAATATTAGTTTTGGGGCTGGTATTATAGCGAAGTTGAAAGTCTTCGGTATCAGATATGAAGCGGGAAAAAAAATCTAGTTAGCCTTTTTATAATTAAATGAAGATAATCTGCTACCTCGGGTACCTCGCAACTGTTGTTCGGTTGATTTTTCTGGGTTCTTTGCAAACAAAATCAAAATGTCTAGTTTGATCAGTTAGTTGCTGCATGTTTGAGATAATTTGATAATATTTATCATTTTCCTGGTTCAGACGATAAGCTTGATTGACCATGTCTCTGGCACAATTTCAATACCGGATTTTAATTTCATAAAAGAATGGAATTAGAAATGGAGGTCTTGCTTTACCAGGTTCGTTATCAATATGGTTTACTGCCATAGCAGCGAACGTATGGGGACTTCAAATTTCCGGTTCCGTTTCTTAAAATATCTTGGGGGGTAACATCTTGGGGGGGGGGGGGGTGACAGAAGGGCCATGGTAGCAGGAGTTACAAGCGTTTCATAATACAAAATGTGCATCACCTCTTTCTTGTGCTGAACAGAACCTTACTATTAAAGTAAACAAATGTGCATCACCTCCCCACGAAAATTCACATCTATAGACTTGTACAATATCATAGTATTATACGGAACATTAGGTTGCTGACATTTTTCCCTGGACGTGTCGAGTTGGTTTATCATTCTGGACTGTTGTGAAGACAGTACAGTGACTACCTCAGTAAATGATGACGACGATTTTACTTCATCAACAGATGTTTTTTCAAAGCAAAATATTGCAAATTATAGCAAAATATTGTAAATTATAGCCCCAATACAATCAGATATAAAGCCTGTCATTTTAATCAATTACAATATCATTAACTCATCTTGCTGTGAGTTAAATTATTCATCCATAAAATTGTATTACTTTTTGTGTAAGAAAATAGCATTTTTCCACATAATACCGAAACATGATCACTTCGATCAACAAAAAATAAAATGAATATTCGGTTGTTCATGCCTACAAAACGACTTATCAGCATTACGTTAAGGCTAGGATGTAATTTGAAAAAAGTAATCGTATGAATTGTATTGCTGATCAAATGTTCATCGGCAAGGGTGTCAATCATCACAAGGCCCTTCGTTGTGGTTTTCTCTAAAGTGTTGAAGAATCCCCAAAGTCATCTTAACTTTATTACCGACGAGTTCGCCTGATAAAATTGTTAAAGTTGTAATAACTAATAAGTAATTGCTCCATGCTCCTATGCAGATCATATAATTGATTGTAGATGAATGGTCAACGGTTGAATATGGCTCCAGAGAACTGAAAATTTTATTGATTTTGAAAATAATGATAAAATATTAAACTCACCCAACATATTCAAAATATCGCTGATCTGTGTATCACACATCTCTGTTCTGTCATTATCATACTTCTTGAAATGTTCCACAACTGGCTCTGTGAAGTTCACCCCGACGAAATGATCTATTTAAATGAATTTCTGTTAATAACATGGATTCGACAAAATAACGCCATTCTGATTCACGATAGATGACTATGTTACCAGTTCTATCTCGTTAAATATTGTATCCAGCTATAAAATATATCAACATTCCAACAAATCATTTCAAGCTCACTAAAATTCTACTTACTCAGCAAATCCCACGAAGATTTGAGCTCCTCGATAAGTTCCTCAGTAAGCACCTTATTGAAATAAGGTGATGTGTAAAATACATCCCACCGAGTAATATTTTCACATTTTCTTGTCCCCTCCAGTTGAGATTTGATGTCCGTAAGTGCTGACGAGCACGTCTCCAGTCTTCCCTCGGTCCGGTTACATCTGGTGGTTTCAGAGCTTAGATTCAATTTTGTCCTCTTGAGCTCAGTCTCGGTCAGGTTTAGACGATTTGTACATGATTGGAAATCTTCCCCCGTTGTATTTAATCGGCCGGTAACTGTGACCAGTTTCTCCTGAGTCAGATTATATTGACCGGTCACTGTTTGCAAGGCGTCCTCCGTTGTATTTAAGCGGCCGGTAACTTTGACCAGTTTCTCCTGAGTCAGATTATATTGACCGATCGCTGTTTGCAAGGCGTCCTCCGTTGTATTTAATCTACCAGTAACAGTTAGTAGTTTCTCCTGAGTCGTATTATACTGACCGGTTACTGTTAGCAAATCACTCTGCGTGCTATTTAGGTTACTGGTTACTGTAGCCAGATTGTTCCTAGTTCTGTTAAGTTCAGCGGTGACTGTTTCCAGCTGTTCTTTCATGATCTCAAACTGCTTTCTCATTATAGTGTAACAATCTACTTCTACTTCTTCAATAGATCCGCTTCTTGTTTTTGTCAAGATTTCATCCCAACGAAGAATCCTGGATTCTGAGAACTCTTTCCCAGTTAAAACAAAACCCACCTTCTGCTATCCTCCGTATTGCATCCGAAGTAAGGACCTCAGAGAAAATGTTGAAGTCAAACAATTGTCCTCCGAAAACATGGACATTAGCACTGCCATAATGACGATTAAACCACAATGTACCGCCCATGTAAAGTTCTCTCGAACTAGTCTGGTCCGTACCAACGAGATTACCATCCAGATAGAGTTTTATTGTCTGCGAATGTTTCGACCAAGTAATGCAATAATTGAACCAGGTTCCAATTGGCGTTGTAAACTTGCTTTGTAAGCTATCCAATCCACTATCATCCAAGATTCTGTTGTAATGACCAGCAGATCCTATTAATATTTCATTACGACTAGCGTAATTTAAGACGATTGGGTGCGAAGAGGTATGGATGCGCTTCATCCATGTACAGATTGACAACGAATCTCGGAACGGAGCCATGTCGTAGTTGAAACTTATAAAGTCGCTTGTAGTGGTGCCAAAATGTAAGGCCACTTCAGATTTGGCACATACAAGCAAGATCGAAATCACCATCGTTAGCGACAACATAACGGCGAAAATGTCAGAAATAAAACTAGTTTTACGGACTCTTGGTACTGTACTTTACGGTGTAGCAAGAAAAATGGAATCTGTATAATCTCTGGTATCAGGAATTCAGTTAATTACTGTATGTGAAAACTCATCAGAACCGGAAAAGTTTAAACACGTAAGATAATCTAGCTGGGTGGCATGACAAACCCTACATGGTTGGTATTGACTCGGAACAGGGTAATATATCCTGCATTTTCTTATATAAACGCCAGGTTCCATCAAACATTTCATAATTTATGATTATCAACCTCACGCTTTTATCATCCGATTCATGTAATTATAAATAGGCCTTCGGCTCTAAAAAATGTAGATAAGGGATCCTTCAGAATTCAGATTAGCCGGATTGGCTATAAGACCCCTCCCTCTTCATTATTGAAACCCTCCCCCTCAAAATTACGTAACCTACACAACATAACCTAATATTTTGGGACAATAGTTTTCATATAAATGTAAAAGTACGTATGATACCGTCGGATTGAAAAGTGCGACTAGTCCGTACTCCTCATCTTAGATTGAAACCCTTCCACGGCTCAATGTTACGTGTATAACAAAACCTAATCTCCAGGTAATGGACATCCCTAAAGACGCAGAAGCAGACTACCAGACAACAGTGACAGTCTCCTGCACAGTGAACGCTTGTCCCACGGCCCAGTGGACCTGGATGAAGGATGGTCAGCTGATCAACTTTGACGGCAGTAGGACCATTGACAGGGGCAGCTCCATCGAGGTTAGTTCATAAACTCTTTCCAACGGTTTTCTGATACTCCTGACCGGTTTTTCTGGTTCATGATAAAATTCATATATCCTCAACTTGGGTCAAATTTAGCACTCTATACCAGCTAAGTACTACTCTCCTGCTCAGTTACGACAAGTAGTACCAACAGACGGAGGTGAATACTCCTGTACTGTGGACAGTAACAATGGTCTTGATAACAGAGGCACTTACAGCGCAACCATCACAGTCACCGTCAAGGCTAAAATATACGGTTTCCCGAGTCTAAAGTCCTCTTCAAGGGTGGTTAGTTGCGTCCTTGATTCTCCGCTAAATCATTTTTGATATATTTCCACGATCAACTTGATAATATATTCCAGGTGATATCGCTCAGAGCCGCTCAATATAGTTCCACACTGATCAATGTCTGAATGTATATCTGAATGTATTATATCTGTATGTATATCAGAAGATTTATATAAATTTGTGGAGCCTGAATAGCAACATTTGTAGATATTGTGCTGGTTGATTAAAGGTTCTGTGATTTCAGGAGACACAGTAAAGATGGACTGTTCAGCTCACGGAGATGATTCTCAGGGGTCGTTACTGGTGGAGTGGTACAAGTCTGGAGTGAGACAAAACACTGGATCTTCCGTTGTAAGTCAGACAAGTATTTAAGAAAACTAATTTATAATTTTGTTAGAATATTGGAATGTGACTCAAAAAGTTGCTGTAATATTTCTGAGACTGGTGAAAATGTCGAGCCTGGCCCCGGTCTCCTATGAAACTGTTGAACCCTTTTGAACTGATGTCCCTTCCAGATTCAGAAAGACACGACGGAGAGGATCTCGTTCGTCACTTCAACTCTGCTGATTAACTCAGCTATAGCTAGTGATGCTGGTCACTATCAGTGTATCGCTCAAAATGGTGTTAGTGTAGATAAAAGAGATACCTCGCTTATGTTGATGAGTGAGTAATTTAAATTGTCTCCTTTAGTCCTTTGATATTTGATCAATTTGAAAATCTTATCGATTAGTGAAATCTAGTACGTAACCAGAGTAAAAGGTTGAAACCCTAACTAGCCAGGGTTGATAAAATCCCATAAAACAATATCTGTACAATCTTTAACACGGAGTTTAACCTTGCAGCGTACCCGGACCGACCCGGTCAACCTTACAACACGTGGACTGGCGTGGGAGCTGTTGAACTGGCGTGGAGAGAACCGGCCAATACTGGCAACACTCCCCTTACTTCCTACGAGGTAATTGGAGGCTAATTAATTATAGTGCTTAATATAAGTTTATCTGCCACCATTAAATGTTTTCACCTGTTCAAGTTAGCCCTGCTGAAAGGTTATCCTTGCAATTGCATAATTGAGAGCTATTTTGAGAGGAATGGAGAGGTATTACGATATTGTCCCGCGTAGGTAAGGTGCAAATCTTATCCATTTTCGTCTTCTAACCTCTTATGTTCGTCAGATCCACATCGAAACAAAAGGAAACAACATATTCCGGCCCTTCTTAAAAGGATTGGACCCCCTCTCCGTCAGCACTGTCATTTACTTCCTCCAGGAGAACCAACAATACAAGTTTGTCTATCTTTATAATGTTAACAATGTATCGAACTGTCCACTTCTGAATGAACTTCTTAGATTATAGCATTGTGAAATGCTGAACGATATTTCTAGTTTTCTCTAACACAGTTTATTACCTCAGTTTCAAAGTGATTGCCATGAACGCAGTTGGGAAAGGCCCAGCCTCTATCCCGAGCAACGAGATCAGGACCATCAAGACAAACGCTAACCGAGACAACCTGGTGGAGAATTTCAGTCTTCAGTCAGTCAGTTCAGATAGCATCAAGGTGAAGTGGGAGATGCCACTACGGAGAACTAACAACCTTAAGGGATACAAGATTATGTACAGGAATGAGGATATGAACGAGTTGCCAAAGTGAGTCCGCAGTACATTTCTAGACACATGTTTAAATTTTAATATCCTTCTCATAGGCCGTGATTTTAAATAATTGATTCATAATTCTTGGTGGTGTTATTAGTTTCCATCGATGAGACGGAGACAAACAACTACTAGGTTCAAAAAGACTAAGAATCATAACTTCTTCGTTCCTAGGGAAAAAATCATAGACGACTACACGATGTTAGAGACGACAATAGATGAGCTGGACGGGGGATCAATGTACTCTGTGCAAATACAATCCAACACTAAGACACCTATCAATCTTATTGTCTCCACTGTTAAAACCACTCAAACTCTTAATCAAAGTAAGTTGTGTCTTGTCACAAATCGGACTTACTTTCTAGTCATTACATTTATCAGTTTGGTGTGCATAATTCTCTGGCATACAGTTGGTAAAAGCGGTAAGAGCACTCTACATTTTCCGGCGGAAAACCTTGTCTGTCTTATTTCATCTAATCTCACCTTATCTCACCTTAATATCTCATCATTTTATCAACCCCAGAGCCAAGTGCTCCAGCAGAGTGTACCGCAAGAAGGGAGACAGCTAGTCGGATAGTTGTATCGTGGAACGAGCCTGAAAACCCGCACGGTAAAATCCTATTCTATACCATCTACTATTCGAATAGGTGGAACCCTGCTGATGGACCCTACGTACACAATGTTACTGATGCTCAGACAACCTCCGTAAGTGGATTATTTATACTATTTGGGTCACCAAGCAGTTTAAATTATACCATTTATGACTATGTACCGCCTAATTGCAATCACCGACCACTTCTAATCATACTTTCATTTCAAATCATGCTGTAAATATTTAACTTAATCGCCTCCCCACACAGAAAGCAATAACACTGGGGGACGACAGTGCAGGATTACTTTGTGGAGATAACAGCTAGCAACTCAGCTGGAGAGGGGATACCTTTCGAGTGCATTGCTGACGGCAAAACTAGTAAGAGCTTACAGATTGAGAGTAGCTGTGTGCATTTAGGAAATATTATTTCTTAATAAATTTTACAGATCGTTATTCAATGAGGGCGACAAGCTCGAAACTGTGTTTTATTTGTTAATGTTCTAAAAACCCTGAAATATCTCACATTTTCTCACCTCAGTGAATGTGATTTGGTTTATGACATGGTGGTTCTACTTGATAGTGGCACTTGTTGGAGCCTGTATTCTGGGTCTCTTAATCTTGTGTGTCATTCTCTGCTACAGAAGAAGGGCTGACAAGGGCCCCAAAATGCAGAAGATTCCACCTACTGGAGCTGCTAAGAAAGGTAGGTGTTATGATAGATGTTACTGGTGATGAGAGAGCGGGTGTTTCCGATTAAGGAACCTGTTCTCTTGTTCTAATACCATCTTTACTGAGTGATCTACTGAACTTTGCTCCCCCAAAGCTTGTTCTGCTAAACTTGTTTTGATTAAAGAGGATCTGGTGGTCTTGATTTTGCATGATTTAGCGTTTTATAATTCTACATGAGTAGATGGTGTCTAATGCATTTTGCATGCGTAACTATGTGGTCAACTTCAGTCGACTTGGTTAATAATGTTATTGGTTAACATTCTGTTTACCCCTAATAATCACACATATGATTTAAATTAAAACCGACCCAAAATATTTCGTTTCAAATCAAACGTAGATCATCTCAAATCTTGTCTTATTGAAGTATTGAACCAACATCGCCTAATCGATTGAAGTTGGCCCGTTGAAGAACTCATGATATCTCTGTTCTAAATTATCTTCTCTCTTTGTAGAATCGGGATGGTTCAAGTTTAAAAATATGTTTAGCCGTAAGACCCACTTTCCTTTACGAAATCAAGGTAAGATTTCAAAGACACATACGGGCTAAATGTACTAGTTTGTTCACGTTAAGAGTGACCATTTTCATTGCAATTTCATCTGCTTTTCTTCGTTCTATCGCTGAAAAATCTCAAGTTGAAAATCTCAAGTTGCTAAATAACTAAAACTGAGTTTTCGAAAAAAAAGAAGTTTTTAACTGAAATCTCGTACGAAATTGCTGCGCTGATGTTATGAGATTTCGCTGTCAATAACATAATGGTGTGTCCTACACGGCAATTTTGTGATATTTGTTTGTGATCATCGATTTTGAAATTTTTCGGTGCCTTTTCAAATTGCGATCTTGATTTTCAGTGACTGAAATACTTTGTATTTTTCAGACGATTTCAGAGGGCCAAACGCTCAAGTGTACAGCCCAAATACAGCTAGAAGCTACAATCCACCTCCTGCTAACCCTATGAATACTTTCTCTGGAGGTTTGTTTAAATTGTTCACTTTCCTTATTTAATGTATTGTGTTTTAACTTTTACCACAATTTTTATTGGTTCAAACTCAGGCTTCCATAAAGATTATCGTGGCCGCCTATTTTGTCATCTGCAGAGAAAACATAAGTTTATAATTAGAATCATTCGTTTCCAGGAGCTATGGGAAGTCCAGATCAGGGCAAGTTTGGTGGAGGAGCTGGAGACTTCAGATATGGCACTCAGCCCAAGGTACTAACACGTGACACGTAACATCTAACACGTGACATCTCTTCTTTTAATAGTTTCACTTAAATGTAATCATGCAGAAAATCTTCAAATTGAAAGGCGTATTTATTTTATAGAAGCTGAAACTGAACGGCTTAATTAATGGCAACTTAACACGATAGAAATAGAGTTAGCCTGAATCCTCATGCTATAACAAAACCTATCCCACAGAGCCCCGACTACGGCGCTCCTGACTACGGCTATAACCCCAACAAGTTCAACACATTCGACAGCAAAGCTACCTACAACGACCCTCCCAAACCCTCCTACTCCGGCTTCGACCCACCCAGTTACTACGACCCACCAAAAGCCGCATACGACCCGCCCAAAGCGGCGTTCGAACCCCCGCAGTCCCCGAAGGGAGGGTACGGGGGACAGTACGATCAGGGTAGCAACTTTGATAACACCTCACGATACGAGCAGAACACCATGGACTCTAGATATCGTAAGTTTATATTACATACTAATTTATTGTCCTGTACAATGGTACATTGAAGCCATAAGTGAAAATTACACCAATATATTTTGTTTCAATTGTTGAGGTTATAATATCTAGATCCCGCATTTTCTCCGTATGAAAATAATACCCAAAGTACAGCGCTATTTGGTTCCACTCACACACACACCATACCCCAGGTGGTGATAACGCGTCCAGAGGCTACCCTACTAACGACCGTAACCCATCATACGGCGGCGGCGGCAACTTCAAGTCCTCCCAATTATAGTGGTATCATTTTATGATACGTCATAGATTTCCCCTTGAACCTCATTTTACGGTTTTTACGTTTTTACTTCGAGTTAGGTTGGAATTGGTAACATGGGTTTTTGAGCTGGCCAAAGTCCTCAAATAATCGAGGATTTTAAGGAAAAGGAGACATAGAGACTGATAGTGTTCCGTTTATATATTTGAATAATATGATATGAATTCCATACTTAATCATATTATATACATTTAGAATCTGAAATATTTTAAGTTCCCGATGTTTTACAAATTTATAATTTTAGTTGCCAAGTGCATTGATTGTGCTGTTTTAGTCAATAGCCAGATTTTCAGAAATTTCTTGATCAGATATCAGTTTATAATTAAATGATAAATTTTAACCTTAAATATGGGCATGATTTCTTGGAATACATTTATTATTCAGACTTCAGAGGCAGGGATTATTTTTTGTTAATACAAACTCTTTTGTAGTTTCAAATACAACAGACCACCTAATTTGTAATCTGTTTCTATGAGTAATCATAGATTATTAACCACGCAATGCATGTCATGTTACTTTAGAATTTGTTAGTGTCGCCGAGTGTTCATTTATGAACAGTTCTTCTCTAAAACATGTGTCAGTGTGCCCAAGTGGTACAGTACATTATTCGTATATGTCCATCACTCTAGAGTGGTATGTTTGTTCGCTTTAGATACAGCGAGCACGAGTTATGAATGTGATCGGGGTCTCGCAGACCTGATTTATCTTTTTTTTCGGGTTTCTGATAATGAGATATATTGTCAATGTCAGGGGGTTTGAGAAAATCACAGAGAACAACAAACGATATATTATAACCATTTCTTATCATGTTCAATAATCAATAAAGGATGATAGATACTGGAGATAATATTGTCTTTGTTAACAATTCATTATTTGTGACAAGAATTAAAATTGTTAAGATGAGATTTAACATCATAATATGTATATTGCATTATAGATTCGATATAAATCTTATTAAAACTGTTATAAGCTATATTGACAACGAAACTTGTTATATAAAATGTACGTTACTGCTCAATTTATTTTATATAAGAATTTAATGCAGACATAATTTATTTTGTTCTAATTGAATTGAATCACTTTCGCTACCTGTCATGTGTTGTAGCGCGATGCACTACTTAGCTAACTCATATAAATATAATAACTGCGCCACGCATAAAATGTATATCCAAAATCTCAATCACAGATTGACAGATCGTAGCAATGCACTAAACATAGGGTCTGTCGTGATATCATGGATCGCTTAGGTTCCACCAGGATCTGGTAGTCCTCATGATTCTGCGGCCTCTAAGTCTAAATCTAATTAAATAGGTAATAATTATTTAAGTCTCTGGAGTCTTGACACCACTTTAGGGTTAGACGGGTTCCTGCTAGTATGTATAATTCCGCGAGCAGTTGATTGTTGAGTAATTCTTAAAAAGGAAGTTGATTAGACTTAATAAGGTTCCATCCCCCTGATGGGAATTCTGGAGCGTGCTTGAATTAAGATAATCAAAATTGCTTTTGCGGATGTGATCGAGAGCATATTATTAGGAGCATATTATTAGGGGGTGCACCATAAAAATAAACATGCTCGGATTTTAAAAATTTTGTACCATTGTTTTCTAGAGACTGTGAGAATTTTCACAATACCAAATTTGTCATACCTTTTTGGAAAGATCAGTGAGTTTCGCCTAGGTGCCATATTTGATGGTGCGCGGCTTTTGGAGCAAAATGACCTGTAAAAGTCGCGTAATTTGACCAAATTCGTTGATTTTTGTCGTATTATTTGGATATATCTTCAGTTCCTTGAATGAGATCATTCTGAAAATTGGCGACGACCTTCCAATAGGGCTTTCACAACTGTCCGAAAAATTTGGTGGATCTCGGAGTTGATATAGTGATCAAAATGGGGCAAAATACGCTGCTTTTAGCTGTAACATAATGTCTGATGGTTGGATATGCTTTGATACATGTTACGTATCCCGGCGCGAAAAGTGGCATGCAACGTATGTCAAGATATGCTTTAAACTTTTCGGACACTTTCCTTGTAAGTCTATGTAATGATAGACAGTTTTTGGGTTTTTCCAAATAGTTTCTGATTATTCTGATTTGCGACAAATGATATTGCACTGTTAGGATAAACGACGTTTCAAAGTAACAACTTCTTATTCATGCTGACAAAATTGGTAAATATGTGAGAAAACTGTCTCATAAAATTTATTAATCAAAAATGGCTAAACGACAACAAATTTTTCAAATACTCGACTAAAATTAGAATCAAAATCTATATATATACAACACTACTCGATCTGCTATTCAATACACTTAAAACATCCACTAAACAGCAAGTACGTGATTGTGATCGTGTGATGGAATGACATGTACAGTGATAACAGATGATTTAAGATGTAAGTGATAACAGATGATAAGGTAAAAGATACAATACATGTGAGATGGTGTATACACAATGTGAGTGAAAATATAGTGAGTGGTTACTGATTGTGAGCGAGATGTGAAAAAACATTAAAACTTACTACTGCTAGTATGTAATGAGTAAGCTTACCAATTTTTGTTGCAATCGGAGGTTGGGAAAGATACTTAATATCTATTTGTTTGAAGAAAATTGTGCTGGCCGAAATTAGCGCTAAAAAACCATCCTACAGTCGGCACGCGCGGCTCACTGTCGATGGCGCACTACCTAATATTATTACTGTCACCAAGATGTAAATCAGATCGAATTGAGACGCCGTTTGATCTAGTTTCTCGTTCGATCTAATTTCACGTTCGATCTAATTTCTTGTTCGATCTTACCTGGGGACCTCAGGCTATCATGTTCATAGGCGGAATGACAGGCTGAGCGCGGCCTAGCCCAGTAAGTTGATCGATCTGATTTACATCTTGGTGACAATAACTGTCATCAGTCATTGCACCAAGATGTAAAGATCAGATCGAAAGCAAAACTTGAGTAGAGATGACGTCATGTTGACGGATGTTACTCGTCTAAATTTCTTCGAAGAAGCGCGCGCCGCTTTCTTCTCGAAATATTATTATTGCCCGATGGCAAGTGCTACAAAGTAGCGCGCGCCGGGCCAGATCATTAACGATGGTCAAACTTGTATCACGTTGCGACCCCCACGGTCGTTTCACTAATTCACTATCGTCCTGACGATACAGGGGGAGCCGCGCACTTCGTGCGCGGCGGGTCATAAAACGTATGACAAGGTCAAACGTCATGCAAACCCTCAATGTGTCAATTCACATATAATGACATAGCCATGTGTATACGCGTACTCAGTACTGCAGTCGCGCGCTACTGCAAGCAAGAGGGCTCTGGTTAGAGCAAATGTGTCAATAAACATGCTAAGTTATCATACGTTGTATAAATACGAGTCTATGCGCTATGATTATGACCCACTGCGCACGAGTGCGCGGCTCCTATCCCCTAAATTATATTAGGACCGTCGACGAGTCCAGATCCAACTCGGCGCGCGTCCTGGTTTAAGTTATAAACATACAAAAACTACTTAGTTAATAGTAATTAGTACATTGCTCTATATCATCTATCCAGAGCTCCCTTGCGCGCCCGCCTCCGTGAAACAACTTGTTTAACATTACTGGGCCGCGCTCAGCCTGTTCATTCCGCCTAATCTCTATTACCAACATTAAAGCCTGGGGTCCTCAGGTAAGTTTAACAACAAACAAGGGCGCCCGCGCGCCCGCAGTGGCGCGAAAGCACATTACATGGTTTAATCATGTAGGTGAAATTAGTACATAATCAAGCAAATTAAAAAGTAAAGACTTGATTCACAATGTCGCGTCGATCCTTCGCAGCTCGGCGCGGGGACCAGTGGTGCATTCCGCCACGCCAATCTAGCGAAGAAGCATTATTGGATGTCCGGCGCGGCCCAGTATTGACGGATGTTACTCGTCTAAATTTCTTCTTGTATCACGCGGTGACCCCCACTGTCGCTTCACTATAGCGTCTTCGACGCTACAGGGGGAGCCGCGCACTTCGTGCGCGGCCGGTCATATTCACATAGCCATGTGTCTACGCGTACTGCGTGACGCGCTTGTTTCACAAGTAGATAGCGACGGCGGTCGCGCGCTACTGCAAGCGAGAGGGCTCTGGTTAGAGCAACCGGTCATACAACGTATGACAAATTTCTTCAAAGTAGCGCGCCCCGCTTTTTTCTCGAAATGTTATGACCCGATCGCACGGCAAGTGCAAAGTGGTACGAAGTAGTTCGCGCTGGGCGCTATTGGATGTGCTTTCGGTGAATATATATTGTATATATTATTGGGCGCGTCATCTCAAAATGTGATTTTTGAGATTTTTCATTTTGCTAACCTCATATTTCAAAAATGAAGAACAAGGGCAATATTCTAAAACATAACGTTTTTGCGTGACACTCCAAGGAATGTTGGTAACCAAAACCAATTACCACAGTAGCACGCACTTTCCGCCAGTTTTTTGGACTGTCTGTATGAAGCCCTGGTGGAGAAGATCATAAAACAGCTGAAATAAACGACACCGTATAGAAAGTTTTGTCCTTTCAGTGTGACAGCTGATGAGGACAAGGCGAAAAACGCTCAAAACAGCTGATGGATGTGACGATGCCCATATTCCAAACACACGGGCTGGTGGACTACAATGCTAGGTTTATTCAGAGATATTTCGTGTCACACCCCTCTGCAACTGATGTGACTGGTTTGGGCCTGGCTGAACTAATAATAAATGAGCTAAAGACCAAGTTAAACCTCAACCTGCAACACCTGAAGGAGTGTGCTGGTCTTTGTGGAGATGGGCAGTACATCAGAGACCATGTATGTCACCACTTCGAGACCTTGATTGGTATTGTCATACGTTGTATGACCCGCCGCGCACGAAGTGCGCGGCTCCCCCTGTATCGTCAGAACGATAGTGAAACGACCGTGGGGGTCGCAACGTGATACAAGATTGGTATAAAGCCAGTCATTGAATGTTGGGACCAACCACATGCCGTTGAAATATTATGGAAGTAAACTCTCGGGGATGTGAAGGTTTATGAAACATTGAAGGAGAACGTGGAGAGTCTGGTAGTGCTGGTGGCTGGTGCTTGGCATTAGACCTACTTGGAAAAGGCAGCGGCAAAGAAGCTCAGGCCGGCACAGCTGAGTGTGCTAAAAGATCTCAAGTTCTGTGGGCATGGCTTGAACCAATTTGAGAATGTGCTCAAAATGCTGGAGGTGCTGATAGGGATGAAAATACTCCAGACAAGAAGAGATGTTTGGCTAACGACAAATTTAAGCCTAGGATGGCTCTCTGAGTTCTGACAGATTGGTTGGCCTTATTAAAGAAGTGGTCATTCGTGACTCAGGTCAAAAATCTCAGGATCAATGAGTTTATGAACATGATCCACCTGATGAAGTAGGCGTTGGACCTGATGGGAATAGTAGAACTTGATGAGCCAACACTCACAGAGCGTTACAGCTTCAAGCGGTTCTTGAAGTTGTATGATGCACTGGATGTTGTGGGTCTTGACCCATTTCGTGTGGCTCCAGTAGAAGCACCCAGACCGACGCGGTCTGGTGATAAAAGGATCCAGAGACTCATACACGAATTTGATAATGTCTCAGCAGCAAAGGATATTCCTTACCAGACTGTCCTGAATTAGCTAAAACAACTCCAGCAGGCCTTCATCACTTCATCAGACAGCACGAGGCGTATTGGTGGGATGGAGGGAAGGGAAAGGTATGGAACTAGCCAAAATTTGCTCTGCTAAAGTCTGCCGGGCTTTCATTAACTTCGTGGCTCAAGAGTCAAGACTCTGTAGCATTGGTGTTCCTCGAGAGCAACAAGGAGGCTAACAAGCACAAGAGCAAGTGTAACACCAAACTTGATCCTGTGTCACCAGTAGTGTCCCCTTCAGACTTCAAGGACCTGGTGGCAGTGGAATTTTGCCTTCAGGAATTATCAAACTTGGTCGATGATGATACGAGGCATCATCTCACTCACCCCAATACCAGAGTACTGCGGGAAGTTTTCAGTGATGCTGCTGATTGGCTCATACTATGCCACAGGATTAAACCAACGCTGGACTCCACCGCTCTAGCAATCTTCCACAAGAAAGACTTTTACGAGCGGTGAGAGAAAGGCATCCTTGAGGTATTTCTAAAATGCCTTACAGCCTCTGCCAGCAAGGGGATCATAAAAAGCTATTGTTCCGTAATGGAGCACCTGCTCTCAAACTACACGACCTATCGTGAGGACGACGATAGCAGGGCCCAGCGCCACATGTATGTTTGCTGAGGAACTGGTCAATGAAGGCTGCCACAGATATTTCAAACTAAGACCTAGACCTGGAGCTAAGTTTGCGGCAGAAGGGGCCCTTGCTAAAAAGACTGCTAATTCCCTCACAGTCAAAGCCAAGGAGGATAAGTTGAGGAATGACCCTGATAGAAACCCTAACTTCCAGTATTTTAGGTGAAGATCCAAATTTTTATGAAAAGCATTAAAATTATTCACAAATCATAACATATCACAACTCACAAATGTTTCTTTTGTCAGTGTTACTCTATTCTAACAATTTAGATTTAGTTCTTTGTTGTAATCTCTGTACCGTACTGACAATGTTATCTTTTAGGACCAAGTAATCTGACCTGTTACCAGCACCTCAACTCCAAACTGACTCACTGCCACCAGTCAACCGCCCAGTGAGATCAATAAATCTAGCCTGAGAGAGAGGCCAGAGGGTGTTAATTTATTGTTATAATTGTTGTTTGTACAGTATGCTGAGGACTGACGGTTGTAACTTGGGATTGTTTTGACGAGAAAATAGTTTTAAACTGCATGAGCCATTAACTGACATTTCAAATTTTAATCAAACCTTACAAGTTTCAACTTACGTCTTACATGTTATATTTTGTTGACGTTTTTTACAAGATATAGTGCGCGCAAGAGCAGCTCTTGTTTTCTGCCCACACGGGATCTGTTACACATGTTCATCAACTGCTGCAGTTATTGTACTCGATAATTGGAGTATTCTAGAAATCGGCATGTTCTTTGTAAAACTTGTTAGTGCAAATCGTTGTGTACTTCCATCAAAGGCAGTGTTATTACCTTAAATATCTTCAAATTAATATATAATTATAACCTGCCACATACGTAGTGAAAGGTGAAGGAAGCTTTTTACTACAACTTTAAAAACATACCCTAAGATTTAAGGACTTCTTTTTCGATGGCTTGACTGTTCCTCAAAGGCTTGTCTGCGCTATTCATTTTTGATAAGATGCTAGGATATAATTAAGAATTAGATTAAAAACTGTGTACAGTGGCCCACAAAAACACATCATAAGCGCTGACTTTTGACCAGCGATAACTTCGGCTAGAATCAGGAACAATATTTTTCCATAGAGTTCAAAGTTCAAACTGAGCAAATTGTAAAACAACTTTAAAATTGAGCGAATAGCTCGAAAACCAAAGAGCGATTATCATTGTAATACCGAAGCGAGTAAATCAAAAATACAACTTTAAAGTACTACTTTACACTTGCACTGTACTCTAGATGATTCTAGGATGCGAAGCTTGCTTCACCTAGAACACATGATGAGCTCCCCTGCTATAGTAGCAAGTGTCTAGACAATTAACCATAGGTATGATGGTGTGAGTATCACTAACGGTGGCAGTTTATCAAACGCACTCACTGCCTAGTAATAGGTTTCCGAATGTAATGATGTTAGCGCGTGTGACGTAATTGAATCATTTCCTACTTCCTAGTGTCCCATTGGCATAAGTCGTGAAGTTTACTTGTTTTACTTGAAGTTTAATTATTTAATATGTGTAAAAACGACATCAAAAACGCCATAGGCGACCATTTATAAATGTTTCCATTTATTTTTAAAAGTTTTTTTTTTATCTAGGGATTTAGAAAAATATGATTTTCAACTACCGTAACCCCAAATTTACATAATTGGGATAATTACATAATTTCATACTATAGAATATTTCCATCATATCTGAGCACTTGTTAGCAATTATAATTTCTTTTTTATCCTCATTTCAATTTATAGGTCAAAAATGGATATTTCTTGGGAGTCCTCAGAGCAGGTTGGACTAAACGTGTGAGTACTTATCAAAAGCAGAATTCTATTCGGTATTTACGTGGTAAAATTCCAAAAATCGTATAATTTGAACGAATAAATGTGGCATAGGAGATTCCCTGTACTCGTTCAAATGTCTCATATGTGTTATGTTTAAACACACACATTATGCATTATATTCAGAAACACGAATGAACTCTGAATTTTTTGCTTGGTCTCCGGTCAATAATTCGGCAGAAGAATTCCCTCGCAGTTCAATACAATATCCATCTGCTGTCGTGAATTATTTGATACCCTGTTTGCAAGCTATCCGTTCATATAGTTAAATTATATTTTATTTCAGGGAAAAAGCGTTTCAACACAAGATTCTGGAGAAAAATAGGTCAGTACTGACTCCTTTTTTGGGCTTTGATGCAAACATGATTGAAGTAGAAGGACATGAAATCACTGCTGCGAATCAAATCCAGTTGTTTGTGCCTTTTGTGACGGACTGAATGAGATCATTAAAGAGCGTAATGTTAGAAATGCAGCGATAACAATGTATCAACGTATTGAAATTAAAATTTCAACTTAACACAAAATTATAGAAAAAATTAACAAATTATTTCACAAACAATTTCGCTAAATCAGTGTCTTAAGTCTTATCTCGTAAATAAACAATCATCACGATACAACAGTACACTGTCAAGAAACAATATTTATAAAACGATTTTTCTTCTTTTCACACCAAATCACAAAGTAAATTTCTAAGAATGTTTTTGTCTTTTTTTTAATCACGCTTGCAAATACAATATTTTTTCCTTTTTAAAGTTTTACATTAAACACTCGAGAGCTTCGTCAGCTACAAACATTCTAAGAGTATTTCTGAAACGTTTTGACGTATGTATTTAAAGATCTTATATATCTCAGCTGATTCATCGATAGTTTATTACTAAATGTCTGTGTACCCCCTGACTCTGTGGCGAATGTTGTAGAAGACAGTGACTGGTAGCCGTAGAACTGTCGATATGTACCCTCTGTAAGTTGCTTTCAGTTCCGGTTTACGCAGGATCAGGATAGTTGGGAACAGTGCTGCATTTATCAGTGGTAGGGTCAACCTTCCCACCAGCTGAACTTTATAGTCGGGTAACACTAACACGATATCATTTGTCATTAAAAATCTTAATAAGCTCCAAGAGTAAACCGAAATGCTGGAAAGGTACAGCAAGGATATCAAAAATACCGTGACCGTGACATGGTTTGCAATATCTTGTCGGGGGTCCGCACTTTGGCTGAAAGCTCTCTTGATGTAAACTATTTGTAAAATCATACAAACAAGTACAATTAAACATGGTAAACACAACTCAAAGAAAGGTGGGATATATATAATAATATAGCTCAAATCGAACCTAATTTTGGGATATTTAGAAAAAAGGTAACGGAGTATTTCCTCCAAAGTAGCAGTTCCAATTAATTGTAGAGAACCTAAAGAAATCCACAAACCTAAGTCCCATTTAGGCAAGTAATATGATATTTTAATTAAATGTAAGCTGTCAAACACGGACAAAACTAGGCCTAAAGATGTAAATATAGCAAGACAGACCTTGAAAACACGTCCACGAATCCTGTAGAATGGGTTTATTATATTAATCGTCTTCACAACCGTAAGGGTCATTCCAAGAAATGTAGAAGTTACATAGCACAGGTTACCAAACGAAAGGTTTGTCACGTAAATCAAGGATGGCATCTTCTCCATACCCAGTAGTGCTATAGATCCCCAGACTATCGCTGAGTAAGCACTTCCAATGTCCACAGCCGCAATCAGAACGAAAAGGAGGGAGGACAGTCTTTTCAGATCTCTGTAGTAATGATAAATTATCATAGAGTTCTGGATGATTATGTAAATTGAGAGCGCCAGATTGATTAGGGAGAGACCTTTGAAGTATTTTACTGGGAAATCGTTACCGGTAACGAGGGTTTTCATTGCCTGAATGAAGAGAGAGTGTATATTTTTTTAAAACAATTTTGGCAAATAGGTACAATACCGACCGGATATTAGCTACAACAAATCACAAGCAAGCGTCCGCTGTTAGAGGCTGTTAGAGGGTTGTTAGAGGGTGGTTAGAGGGTTGTTAGAGGGTTGTTAGAGGGCTGTTACCGTAACAGCAGGTCGGCATCGTACGTCTATTTGTCACAACTTTAAAGAAAAATATGGAACAAAGGATCTGGTGAACATTTAAATGCGAGCCTTTACAAAGTCGTGTGAGACTACTGTCTAACAAATCAAGGTGCGTATGAAAATAATACAAAGATCAAAAGTGAAAACTGAAACTGAAAATTGAAAGAGTTCATTACCTCGATACTACGTACAAAAGAAAATATACCTTAATATATCGGATGTGACCATGAACCGCTATTTGAGTAATTTCGTATTTCGAAAAATATCTGTAATATCTGTAATGTGACACGATCCAAGATTCTTGTGAAAAGTAATCTAGCACTGGAGCTAACTATGGGGTTAACGTCATAACTGTTTACTGTTCTCAAGAACGTGTATACCTTCACAGTTGATTCAACTGTGGTCAAACGTTAATGCCCAATGATTTGAGTTCAACTAATATCCTGAGGGCCTTGCCAATCATTTTTAGTTCTTCTTTTGACCTCACCTTATCTTTGACTCTTTGAATACTGTAGTCGACCAATAAAAGCTCATAACAAATGTGTCCATTCGCAGGAGAGACGGCCTCAGGATAGAGTATGAGAAAATGAAGTATGACCTGGGGTTGAGTAAGAAGACTAAACAGGTCGATGTGTTAAGGAAAGCTATTTCTGAGCTGCAAGTAAGATTTACAGGAATTGGCACAATTTCTGTCGGTAATTTCAATATAATGACCAATGACCATGCTAGTAGATGTACTTTGAAGTTTGCTAGAACTGGATAATATAAAATATAAATGCCTCATTTTATTTCTATCATCATGAACCATTGTTTTTTTAATTATCATTTTACACCTATTTTGAGATTCCTGTTCACTAAATAATGACCCACCAGAAACTGGAAGAATCTTACTTAGAAGTGGAACACCTGAACAGAATGAATCCCTCAACTCACACTCTACTATCTCTTCTAGAGGAAATAAGACAGCTTAACAAAGAGGTACGTCTTCTCCTCTCTTAGATTTGGACATTTTTCTAAAACAGCGATAGCTAATAGTAGTGGACTGAATTTCACTATTTTTACCCTCATTCTTACTATTTCTCACTAATCTGGCATTCTTTACATGCTCGGAATATTTGACCATGTTCTCTCAGATCGACAAGCTTGAAGGAGCCTTGAACATAGACACGGCCCCGGTAATGGTGATTTCCCACAAACACGACCCCCTGATTACAGAGTCTGTTCAGCTAACAGAGCTGGCGAACTACAGTCCAGAAGAAATAAGGCTACAGGGAGGTTTCCAGCATCAACCCGCTCAGCTTAACTTCATCTAGTGGACTGAGTTTTAATTATATGTTAAATTAAATTATTAAATTATATCACAATCGTTCTGAACTATATTTTATTTTGGTATTCCTTAAAATAATGCCGTAGTTTCATGCGGTTTTAGTAGCATTTTTGTGTACTGACAACATTGTGGCAGGTTTTTAATCGAGTAGCATTTTTGTGTACTGACAACATTGTGGCAGGTTTTTAATCGAGGATAGGTTTTTGTAAAGTCATTCCTTACAACCATCAAATAATTAGTGAATGATATTTTGTTTTATATTACGAAATGTGTCTAACTGTTAAACATATGATTTTTTTGTAATTATAGGACGTAAATTATTAAACATTATTTGAATAATTATGATTAAATAATATTCAATGTTCAATCTAAATAATCATAAACAAACATTTAATAAATTCTCATTCTTATATCCATCGTTATATTATTTATATATTTATTTATCATATGGCTCAATTCTGATTTTAATTGTAACTTTCATTCTCACCGGTTATTTCATAGATGATAGATGTCCTGAAGTCCGTGAATTTGTATAATCGCTCGGCCCGCATCATACTCGGGACACTTTTACGGTAACAAAGTGGTGTAGTAGATATTGCAGGGCGCAAAACAAATTTCGTATAAAAAGTACAACTGCTATCGTAAGCATTTACTGTGACATAAATGCGCGGCACGCTCAACATCATAGTTTTTTATCCGAACTGTCACATCAAATTGTAGTGCCGTCTAGCAAGGTACTCAATCACCGGTGAATATTTTAAACACATTTTGGTGTTATTTAAATAACTGGTAACTGGTCACTAACTTCGGCGATACTATTTTGTTGTCAATTGGTAAGAAAACTCGTTAGCTACTGTAAGGCGAAATGTAAATTGTAAATCACTCTAACAACTAACATTAACAAAAACTATAATATAGAAGATAACTGCGATAAGTATTTTTTGATCATTACAGAAAATTAAAGGTAGGTTGCAAAGAAGCATTTAAAACAGGAATTCAATGAAGATAAGAATAAAAAGTAACTAAAACTAAATAATATTTTAGGTCAGGTACAAGGTTGAAGGTATAATAAACATAGGTAATAATGTTTAGAACAGAATCGCACAATTTTTTGAAGGCAGAATTTTACATCCAGTGCTACATCAAATGTCACAATAGCAAATTATAGTTAATAGGTAAATTCTTTTATTCGATAGTTCAATAAACTATTGAATCTCAAATGTAGAAAATTGGAGATTCTGTTTCACGATTTCAGTACAGTGAACAACTTCAGCGGCAGTCCAATAATAAGGCACAATGATAAGCAACAGTACCAAGTGTCAGATCCTACACTTCACCGCTTGAACCGTTCACTTTCCCTTCCTTTATCTCCATCATCCCGTTCTCCCCGTAGATCTCCAGCGGGTCGTTCTCCGGAACAGACACCATCCTAGTGAGAGCCGGGGAGCGGGGCCTGGAGCCCCCGGAGCTGGTGTAGGTGAGCTTGGTGTGAGCGCTGGACCTCGACTGCCCCGACTCTTGCCTCGAAACTAGGTTGTAGTCTATGGATTCGCTCCTAGAGTTCACGTAGGATCGCGGTCGGTCCGTCTTGGTTATTTTTTGATCTCTGAAATATTGAATGCTATTTTATCGTGGAATTGGTCAGCAGTGGCTTCAATTATAAAGGTAAACTTTGAAACAATGAACTTGTCATTTTCACGAATAGCCGTGGCTGCAATGATGTTTCAATTTGAAGTTATTGTATCACTTGAAGTTATGTATCAGTTGCGAAGTAATAAAGAATTCAGCAAATATTTTGCAAAAATGTGCTTATAATTTTACATTTTAAAGGATGCTGTGCTTCAGCTAAAGCAGTCAGATACGCGACTATAAGTATAGGATATAAAGATAAAAGTATATATTCTTAATAATAAACGCAGAAGCCAGAGACTGGTTAATTCACACTGAAGCCGTATCACCGTCAATGTAATTGACATGAAGCGTACTCCTGTAGTATACATGCTGAAGAGTTGAGACGTACATGCAACATAGAAACAGATAACAGTACACATAATACACATATTTGGGATATTTATGACACATATCAGGGATATTTATGACATATACCACACGTAATATATTTCTAGCAAGATCACGTTTTGGGAAGAACACGATTCTAAGGTGAGAGTCTAGATTCAAGAAGTCAGATTTATCAGCCATTTCTGACTCTCAGATTAAGACAGATCGTGCGTTTTTGGCATGCAAAAAGACCTCTTAAACTCTAGGGACTGCAGAATCCTCGGTGTAGTTACTTAGAACCCGTGTATACCCTGTTTCTTGTCACATATGTCATGCTTACGCTCGATTGCTGTCTCTCCCGGTAAATGGGCCTAGGAGTAAAACTTATAAAAAGTACGGTTATTGCGCAGAATTATGTTAACAAATATTTGGTGAGAAGAGAAGTTGTTAGCGTTGAAGAATTGAACTTGTGATTCCAATAGAGAGATAGTGGTTTTCTAGCAGTTTCGAAAAAGCTTGATCATGCTGGGAACCCGTAATTTTAGATAGATAATTATTTTGTAATCAACAATGATATTTTAAGTTTGTATTTGCTGTAAATCAATTTATCTCTCCCTTAGTATATGCAAGAAAATCACTGAAGTCGCTGATCCCTCCATGTTTGTCTCCAATGGGAACTATTGAAGTGTACAACGGCGATCGAACCGAGGTAAGAACCGAAATAAGAACCGTAATCGAAATAAGATTTTGAGCGTGCTTTCGTGGTTGTTTTTTATTAGTATTCATAAATCAGTGCAGCAAGTTCTTAGCATTGATCTCAATACTGTATATAAGTGCTCATTGAAGGCTTGAGCTAGCACCCTTGAGCTAGCACCCTAGCTACCTGCATTTTCAGAGGGTTAATGGAATGTGAGCAAAGATCGTTTTGGGCCTACCAGGGCCATTATCTTGACCCAAATCGTGACCATTATAGATGGTTATTTTGTAGAAGGTTAGCTCATCATCAACTATCCTGAGAGGCAAGTTACACGTTCATTATTAAGTTTGACAGCAAGAAAATCATGCCATATAGACATTAGACGGGTTCCTTTAGAACAAACACCAAACCATGTACAAGGATGCACGATGCAATATAATCCCAAAACAGCAGGTGCGCACTAACTTCTCTTTCGGGTCCAGCCCCAACTTTATGCTACACTCAAGAATAAACTCTTGAAGTTCCACCCTGCGCCAAGCAAGCTCTCATCATTTATTTACGAGCAAATTTAACTATTCAAACAAAACAAAATGTTAATATAGACTAAATAATTCGGCCACCGTGCTATAAGTATACCTCTGAAACAAGGCACACAGTTTATAACTTACCTAAATGGTATTATGATGTCTTTCCAAGGTTTGAGACAGAGAAGTAAGCAAAATAGGTTAATAAGAAGATCCACATCGTATACAACCGTTAGAACGGTTAGGGGCGCGTTCCAAACTCGTTTCAAGAGGAGCGAGCATAAGAACGCTAATATATCTGCAATTTAAGGGTCACTTAACAATTTGTTTTTATCAGGAATTGTATGTTGCACATCAAATATTATGGTATCATGCAGTAGCGTAACGTTGGCGCAAACCCCCCTCCCCCCGCCGAAAAAGCGCCCCTTGTTAGTTGTTGGCGCCCCCTCCCCTCTTAAACTAGAAACATAAAATTGGACAAATTAGGTGATTTTAGCTTTTTAGAGGATACGCTGGTAAAATCTCTAAAAACTAAAAAGGTGTGTTTCTAGAGCCAAACGCGCAGTTTTGCTAGTACCTTAGTTAAGTTTTTCAAAATTGTCCCACATTCAAACGACGATATGGCCCCCCCCCCTAAGATGGCGTCCCCCCCCCTACAGAGCGGGGTCCTTCGTTACGCCACTGGTATCATGTGGCCCAAAGTTTTGTCAATAAAAATAACATCTGTCTAAGATTTTTATTAAAATATTTGTATAACTAAACTGTTAAAGATTCATACAATAAGCTCTACTTTAAAATAAGATGACCGACCTGTCCCAGCAGATATAATGGTTAGAAGTCTGCACTTCCTGATATACCCCATGATAATGTTCATGGTCTCACTCGCCTCCCCGTCATCTCTACTACTCTTCCATATTGGGTAGGTGAAGAGGAAGAGGAGGGAACTTTGGTAAAACACTAGTAGGGATATCGCTGCGGAATTTGTTTGGTCTCAGTTAAACTTTTATTGCAGTGGAATAAAGCTGTGAAACACAATTACAAGTTTAGCTACGACTAATTAATGTTTTTTTCAGGTATATATACCTTGACTTGATATATAAAATATCAAGTCAACTGTAAGGGACCAACCTATAGCATAGAAGAAAGCAGACATCTTCTTATGTTTTCCAGAGTAACATGCCATGTTTTCTATCACATACTCATGTGATTCTGCGTAGGCTGGGGACCCAAAGTAGCTCATGAAGAAACCGTAACCAACTAACAAAAGAGCTAGCACTACCCAACTGAAAGGTGAGTTTTCAAATATATTTTCTTTGTTTTTTTAAAGCATTACTTATTTTTCTTTACTTATTGTGCTGTCAGTGCCCAAGTAACAAGTGTTACACAGTGCACGACCTGGCTGCAATGGGTTAATACAGGAAATAGAGGTTACATTACCGTACCCTGATCGCCGTTTCTGTCGGCAGACTACCTAGTTATCTTAATCTAATTTTTTTAAATGAAGGGGTCTTATTCCCGCTGTTTTAGGTAATGTGGACGAACATTAAGTTTCCGGGATGGATCATTCTATTGTTTACCTGAATGCAGCGAGTTTCTTGTTGGTCATTGTCTTTAGCATAGCGTCCCTGTAAAATGCGTGCTGCCTGATCCACAGAAATATGTATCCTGCAAAAGAAATAAGTCAGGTTTATAAGTGCATTAACATTAGTATACCTTCATTTCATATCCGTGTAAATAAAAATGTTACTCTGATATATATTATATAGTGTGATAAAACTGATTTATTAAATAGCACAATTTAACAATCAGTTGACAGTTAACTTAGCGAAGTGCGAACAACCCTAACTTAGTTACCACTCAGCAAACCTGTTCATTCCACCGCTATAAAACTGCACTCTCCACATCTTGATCTAAAACTTCCAAACAACCACAACAAACTTACCCGGGACAAGAGATGTAAAATAAGCCATGTGATGAGCAAGTCTCCAGGTCTCGCAGACCTGCCCGTTGTCAGCCATCCTCAGTATCCCCCACTCGTTAATGGACATCTCCACTATCGCCAGGATAAAGGCGGTCGTTACAAAACCGTACATAAAGAGACCCCTCCTGCGTGTTACTTGTGGTTCTTTTCTGTGCCTGATAGTTAATATAGTTAATAGTTAATATAGTTAATATAATAGTTAATATAGTTAATATAGTTAATAGTACTATGTTTACAGTATGCACTGAAGGGGTATCCTAGAAAGTTTATTGAACTTTTAACATGCATCCCTCCTCATTTAACCCTCAATTAAGTTTCCTATCATTCGGCTGAGTCGAGGAGGGTAGTTGATGGTGACTGGCTTGAAATTAAGTAATTGTTATTGGAAACACCGTGGGGTATGTCATTGTTGAGATTCAAATGATTTTAATCAAATTAGTTTACTTTAAACTGTTTCTTGTCGGGTCTAGGACCTTCGGGGATGTAATTTACCTGTATAAGTAGATGAGAAGAGCGAGAAAGAGGTAGAGAGTGATTGTAAAGTAGATAATCCATATTATCTGAGCTGCTATCCAGTGTGGCTCTTCGTATGGAGAGTTATATTTGTGTTCTGATGTGTTTACCATTTCCTGTTGTCAAGGTAACGAATATTATAACGGGTTGTCATGGGAACGGTTAAAACGCGTTAAGTTGTCAAATCTGATTTCGATTAGCATGTACATAGTATTTTGTAGCAAAAAAACAAATTACAAATAAACTGAAAATGTAAAACGAACAACAAAAATTGACAGTCAAAAATATCCATAAACATAAAACATTAAACAATGATATTGATTATGTGGCCACATTTCTGTACTTCCATACAACTTGTATGGAAGTATAGAGTGAATTCATTGCAAATGTGTACCTTAAAAGCTTACAGCTGGGTTTAATAAGAAAGGTAATTACGGCTGACTACTGGCTGTGAATTCAGGTGTAACTCTTTAAACTATGTTCTCTATTTACAACTGTCCTCCCCACTCTCCAGATCAACTGTGATGAAATGTGATCTTGAGAGCTGTTCTCCGAATATATTCATTTTTTCCCGATCCATGACTCAAAGTGCCGAAGGCACAAAAGAGTCAAGGACAAGGGTTAGCGATCGAGGTTTTTTTTGTATATGGTAGCTTTGCGACCGTGCCTGCGAGCGTGCGTGCGTGCGTGCGTACGTGCCCTCGCCCCCAGTCTAGTTATCGCCCACGTGTCTGCCTGCGCAAAGTTATTTTGCGCGATCATCTGAATTAAACAATTGTTGGCGCGCGGTGCTGAAATGTTCAAGTACATTGTTAATTTCACCATGTACGCATCCCGCTAGGGACTAATTGATAGCATTGTATTATTATTTTGAGTTAGTATTACTATTTTGCACAGATCCGTGTCAGGCTGCATAAACAATAAACATATGGTTACATAGAAATATACACGATTTTCAAATTCAATATAGAATTATATCAACTGGGCGGCGCTCGGCCTGTCACTCCGCCATATCTGGATGCTTATAAACAGCAAAGACTGGGGTCCCCAGGTGGTATGGTTTTAAGAGAGGTTATCTGAATTATTAGCGGTTTTCTCTTATATATAAATCATCGCAAAATAAATGTTAGATATAAGAGGCAAAAACGAAATTCCTTCCTTGCTCATGGTAAAAATGGTACTGTTTTACTATTACATATTATCTGGTTTATTATATTCTTAATAAATGTTCAATGTTAACTTTGAGAAGCTAATAATCAATATATATTACATACTATAAAGTATAAAATATTATCCAGGTTCAAGATAACCTTATGGTTTATCGGGCACGTGGTCACCGAGTGGAAAGTAGATACAGTTTTTTGCCAATTTGGTTAAATTGTACAAAATTTCAAAATTTTGGTCGGAAAATGTTCCCAAGAGTAAGATTGTTGTCTTGTGCCGATCCATAAGCAATTTATAGAACTCCTGACAAAACTCGTGCCTTGGGCACTTGTTCGGTCATGAGTATAACTTACCTTATAGTATAGTTCTATTAGTTCTATAACTTACCTTATAGTCTAGTTCTATTAGTTCTATAACTTACCTTATAGTCTAGTAAGATTGATTCATCCTAATCACGCTTATAGTTATACCCAAAATCATTATAACATATTTCATTTTAATGTCCACAGCGGATAATCAAATAAGTTCATTTTTGCACATTTGCATTTCACCATTAGCACCTGTTTATGTTAAAGCATACAGACTGTAGCTTAAGTGACGAGGAGTGCACAACGATATAAAAATTCAACGTTTTTCGAATTACAGCAGTTTACAGCAAATAGAAAACAATTTTCCCAGACTTGCCAAACAATCATCACGTTTAGCTGGAGAAAATGTGAGTGCGGCGAACAAAACTATGCGAAACCGGATAGCGATTAAATTCTAGACTGTACACAATTACAGTTCTCAAGCAAAACATACAATACACGAGAGTGATGATGCTCTGTAAAGCAAGCTATATCACATTGCAAGCATAACAACTGCTCATAATGTTGTGAGCTGCAACTTTACTCCGCATGCGTTTTGCCCAATTTGTCAACTTGACAAATCGGGCAAAACGCATGCGGAGTAAAGTTGCAGCTCACAAGTCAAGCATTGTCCAAAAAGACCTCAAATTTGGTGGTCAAACTCAGAGTCTTAATGGTTATGCCAATTTCTACGAGGTGCAGCTGTTATAATGCCCGAACTAAGAAACCTTATCCAGTAAATATATGATGAAATCTCATAGAGGTCTATAAAGTTGTTTATATCGCTATTTTGTACTCATGAAATCGAATACCCACCGGCTACCGGATGAACAGTCTCATTCTTTTCCAGCAGAAAGTAACGACACAAAACATTCCTAGAGGCCCACAATTAAAACTTTAACACAGCTGACGAACAGTTATCACTGACGAAACGTTTGAGTTCCTAGGCATGAAATTGAATGAATCTAATATTTAATCCACAACAGGAATAACTGTATCCGCTAAGTGTCCGAATTGGAGGTCAAATTACGTTCGTGATTAATAACATCATTAATAACATCATGGGTCTGCTCATCATAGAATAGTCCAGGCAACATTTTAAAATTATCAGAATGCACGCAACGTGTAAAATGATACACCAACGTAATGATGATATCACCCAGCTACTCGATATGAAATAATCACATGAACCTGATATTTGAGCTTGTGCACGATAACCGTACGGGGTAAACTGTGAAAGCAAAAAAATTACAGAAACAGACGTCTTGATATGTCTTCATATGACATATTATAGAAACTAAGCTAATTTGTAGCCGGAGGTCAGATAGAACCGTACCGCTGTTTTTGACATGGCTTCACACACACACACACATGAGGCTCGTGTTTGAGAAAAGTGAATTGTGCTGAGCAGGGTGGAATTAGTGTTATTAGGAGAGGTATTGGCGGGTGTTCTATTAGTTTTATTAGTTACTGTAACAGACCACTGCAGCAGGTTTTAGGCGGGAATCGGGATCTGCTGTTTGTGACCTTATCTGAGATCAGTGATTTTCTGTTTGATGTAAGGTTTTTTTTTAACAAATGTCTCAGACCCATAGCTAGATCTGTGAATTTTAGGCAGACCCACTCGACAGCGGCCAAATTTTGCGCATTATGAGCCCCAAGCCCGATACCCACTTTGCCTCCCAATTATATTATCATCTCGTAACTTCATAAAGAAGGTTCCGTTATTCATTTAAAGATTAAGTTTTTTCGATTCTGGGCACGTAGCCCGACACGTAGCCAAGAAATTTGTAGGACAGTAATAATCAGACATCACAATAATACAGAGTTGGGGGGCTAGGGGGGCGCAGCCGGAAAATTTTTGAGAAATAGGGTGTTCCAGACGACATTTGTAGGACAGCAATAATGTAAAATCCGGATTGGAGTATTATTTATGAGTCGCATTGTTGTAATGTATTCTGGGTAAAATTATCTTTATCCCGGTTGTTGCGACAAGTAAAAATGCTCTTATTAGGGAAAGGAGATTACTCGACGTTTCAATGTAACTACATCGTATTCATGATCTAAAAACAAGTGTTAAAAATTCAAAACGTAAAAAACATATATCTGAGGCAAAATTTGTGAACTTTAATTTATTTTTAATCAATCAACTTTATCCAAAAATTCGATACAAAAAAGTCATAACAAAATTCATAACAAAATTAGTTTATACGACGACAAACTTTTATGGACACGTTCATTGAAGTTTGAGGATATTGGTAAATATTAGTGACCCTACTAAATGGCACGATGATGTAAAATGTGTCACACTATAAAACTATATAAACCCTCAATGGTTAGGATAATCGTTTCATCCTCTAGATAAACGTTGTCGCATAACGATATCTTTATCAGACGATAAGATATCGCTTAAATGCGGCCGGCAGTGAGTTGTAAACTTTGTCACACTATAAAAATGTGACAGAGTTTATATGGACCCCTTGTTGCCGTGTTTGACCAAATTTTCGAATTTCAAATTTATAGGATAGTTGCATATGACTATTATCTACATATTTAGCGACTTTTTTCGTTAAATGGTAGCACCATGTAAACTCCGTCACACATTTAAGAAATTTATATGAGGGATGTTTATGACATCCTGACAAGAAATGCCGAATAGTCTAGCATTGTTTTGTGAGCTGAATGTGTTTGGAATTGTTCACATATTTCATTGTTATAGGCAAATACAAATACAGAAGGCAGAAATAGGTAAATTTAGTCACATAAATTTGTATGATATCTCAACATGTGTGAAATTGAGTAAATATTAGTATACCATCTTAAACACCCTATATTACGTACTATGGATCAATTAACAATATTTCAACCATACGCCGGTCATATAAATTATTATATGGCAGTGATATGTTAACATTGGCAAAATTTCAACACCTGAACAGGGTAAAAATTTGTAAATTTCGTCACAAAAAAATATTATAACTTTATTTGCTCCGTGTTGGCAAAATAACTAATTTATCGACATAGTGATGGTGATAAAGTAACATTATATACTAATTGAGGTATGATTCTTCAAAATAGGGGCAAGAAATGTAAATTTCGTCACATACGTAATTTTAAAATTTAGATAGATTTTATTTCCTACCAATAGTCCTTATTATAGTCGGAATGGATTTATACAAGAAATGTAGAAACCCATGCCAATTTTTCATCACATTGAAACTATACTGTTGGGGCAGGAAAAGTGAATTTCGTCACATTTCAGTAACTTAGTAAAATTAAACTCAGCATTGTTAAACTTGAGTTCTAATTTGCTGAACAATAACCAACCAATAATTCCTGGAAGAAAATTGAATTTTAACCGAGGTATGATTCTTCAAAATAGGGGCAAGAAATGTAAATTTCGTCACATACGTAATTTTAAAATTTAGATAGATTTTATTTCCTACCAATAGTCCTTATTATAGTCGGAATGGATTTATACAAGAAATGTAGAAACCCATGCCAATTTTTCATCACATTGAAACTATACTGTTGGGGCAGGAAAAGTGAATTTCGTCACATTTCAGTAACTTAGTAAAATTAAACTCAGCATTGTTAAACTT